TGCGACCCTCGTGTGGTTGGGTATTGGAGACAGTGGGCCTCTGAGGGGCCGTTTGTAGGGAGCCCACAAAGGACGTACGCGCCCAGCTATGTACACGAACACGGCCCCTCAACCCGCGAGACCGTCCGCGCGATACGAACATTCGAGCAATGCGAACTCTCGAAACCAACGTGGATTCATGTACGTGTAGGTCCTTCTTTCCCTCCTGAGTTTTGGGGCCTCTTGGGAGCTATTCTGGGCGTCCTGGGGGATCTTGGGGGCTTCTTGGGGGCCTGCTGGCGGTCTCGGGGGCTCCCTTTGAGCGGAGGGCTCGACATGTGAATTCGAATCCTTTCGGGACACTCTCAATTCCCTGTCGATGCTCTCTTGGAACCGTCTTGGACGCCTCGTGGACCGGCTTCAGCCTCGCTTGGGCAGCTTCGGTGCCTCATCGGGAGCCTATGTGGCCGTCTCGGGGCGATCTGAAATAAGGGGGCAGATGGGCCGTCTTGGACGCTGTGAAGACCAGTCTGGTGAATGTGTTGAGAATGCACGTCTTCCTCTTGGGGCTCCCTCGGGGCTCTCTCGGGGCGTCTTGGAAACCTCTGGAGCCGCCGGGAGCCCATCTTGAGCGGGCCTGGGGCGCCTTGAGGGAGCTTTTGGGTGCTCTTGGCAGCCTCTTGGGCAGTCTGGAAGCCGTAGTGGGCGGTCTTGGAGCGCCCCAATGGCTGTCTTGAGCGGCCGAAGAGCGGCCCAGGAGGCCCCAAGGGGGGTGGACCCAGATTGGGGGGTTCGAGGCCGTGGTTCTGTAGGCCGTCTTGGGGCCGTCTTGGAGGCCTCGTCGGCTATCTTGGAGCGGTCTTGGGGGCCTCTTGGGTCGTCTTGGAGCGTCGGGAAATCTGCGGGAAATTTCGGCCGAAAATTCGTCCAAAAACCAATGGGAAATCAATGATTTGTGCCTCTTGGGGCCTTCTTGGGAGGCCTCTTGGAAGCCTCTTGGGTCCTCTGGGGAGCCTCTGGGGAGCCTCTTGGGAGCCCTTTGGGGGCCTCTTGGGCCTCCTGAGAGCCTCTCGGGGTGGAAGGCTCGGATTTTCGGTTCATGTTACCCTTCTTGGGCCCCTCTTGGGGCAGTCTTGGGGCCCTCTCGGGCCGTCTTGGGCGCCTCTGGCGCTGTCTTGGGGCACTCTTGGGCCGTCTTCGAGGCCTCTTGGGCTGTCTTGGAGCGGACATTGGGGTCTCTTGGGCCGTCGTGGAGCGTCGGGAAACTGAAAAGGCGAGAGCTCGAAAATCCTTCGAAAAACCTGCGGGGAATTCATGATTTGCGCCTCACGGGGCTCCTTGGGGGGGCTCTTGGAAGCCTCTTGGACAATCAGGGGCTAATTCTAGGGTAATCTCGGGCCGGTATTGATCGTGTTCGCGGTCTGGAAGCGCCATTTCTGGCGATACAGGGCTGTCTTCGGGCGAAGAGAGCCCCCGGCGCCGCGGCAGGGCCCCCGGGGCCCCTGGTCCCCCCATGCGCCGTCGAGCCCCAAGCCCTGGCCCCCTGGGCCTCGCCCCCGGGGATGTATGTGTATACATAATTATATAGACACCTACAGTTAGACATACGTGCACAGATACAAACACACATACATACACATACACGTGCAACACATGCACATGCACATGCACATGCACATACACATACACATCCACGTACACATCCACGTACACAAACCATGCACACACAGGCACAAACACACACATACACACATACACAAATGCATACATATATGCATACACACATACATGTATGCATGCATACATCCATACATTCACACATACACACACAAACATACATACCTCCGCACATACACACATATCGAAACCAATTGCCCTAGCCAGCCCAACCAGCCAACCCAACCAATCAGCCACCCAAACAACTCAACCGGCTCAACCAGCCCAACCAACCACCCCGCAACCCCAGCCAACCCGCCACCCCGCCAACCCGCCCACCCCCGCCGCCTGCCCTCCGTCACCGTCGAGAGGGGGGGGAAGTGTTTCTTACAAGCGAAAACCACAAAAATCACCCTCCCGGGGTCCGGCGGGACAGCGGGGGGAGGGGAAATCGCGCCGTACTATGCGGGAGCGGGATTCGCGCCCGAGGTGCCCAAAGACGATTTGGGGCCTCAAATGCGCCACTGTCGTCACTTTATTACCTCTCACCGCGCTCTCCTTCTCAACGGAAAGGCTCCCATCCGTGAAACTGTCGTCATTTTTCAGCCCCCGCGAGAGGCTTCTTAGAGGCCCCAGAGGCTCCAGGAGGGCCCATGGCGGCCTCGGGAGTGCCTAGGAGACCTCCGGAGTGCCCAAGGAGGACCCACTCTGCACCGCGCCTCCCTTCTCAACGGAAAGGCCCCCATGCGTGAAATTGTTTTCATCATTCCGCCCCCGCGAGAGAGTTCTTAGAGGGCCCACGGAGGCTCCAGGAGGGCCCATGGCGGCCCAGGGAGAGCCCACGAGATCTCAAGAGCCCCCCCGAGGACCCACTTTGAATTACACTCAGGGAGCTCCAGATGGCCCAGGAGGCTCCAAGAGGCCCCATGAGGCCCCGAAGACCCCAAACAGGACACAGGACCACCTGCACGCTCTAGGAGAGCCACGGCGACACCAAGAGGCTCCAGGACGGGCGTCATTCCCTCTCCTCCTCCTGCTCGTCGTCGTCATCCTTCTCCTCATCCGTCCTGCTTCAAATCCTTCCTCCCCCTCTTCCTCCTCTTTCTCCTCCTCTTTCTCCTCTTCCTCCGCCTCCTCCTCTTCCTCCTCCTCCTCCTCCTCCTACCTCATCCGTAGCCTCGATGGCTCCGATAGCGCCGTGCGCGAGATCCGCCTCCTCCCCATCCGTCCTCCTCCCTCCTCCCTCCACCTTCCCTCCTCCCTCCTCCCTCCTCCCCTCTCTCGGGAGCGTCACAAAGAGGCCCTCCGAGGATAATTTCACGACAACAAGGGCGCCGACCCGATGAACAGACACCACGTCGAGGCTCTGGGAACGGAGTCGAAAACGAAACCTCGAATAACTTAGTCTTCGATGTTCGGGGCATTTTTCTGACCACCTGCGAGCCTTGTGGAAACTTCCGAGAGCCTCAGGGGTGGACGTCTGGCGCAAGAACACGAGTGGAGGAGGAGACAACACGACGCTTGGTGTCTACCCCCGTGAGGGGCGTTACAGGGTATACTTATATACATACATCATACATACATGCGTACGTACATGCATGCATGCATGCACGCATGCATACATACGTCTATCCTTACATACATATATACGTACATGCACAAACATACATACAAACATACAGACATATAAACATACATACATTCATGCATGCATATAACCGTACACATACATACATGCATGCATACATACACCGGGGGGGGGTCACTACCGGTTTGACCCCCCCCCCCTCGAAAACCGGGTGGGGGTCATTACCAGTTCGAACCCCTCCCCCCCCCTCACCGCCAGCAAACGACTACCGATCCCTATCACCGTCCGCACATCCTCCACTGGTGTTCCCAGCACCACTGTCCTCACCACCACTGTCCCCACTGGTTCCACCACCGTCCCTACTGTCCCCACCAACGCCCTCACCACTGTCGAACTGTCCCCACTGTCCCCACCACTGTTCCCACCACGGTTCCACTCTCCCCACTTTCTCCACGGCCCCAACCACTGCCCGACTATCCCCACTGCCCCACTGACTCATCCGCTGTCCCACTGAGCTGTCCCACTGTTCCCACCACTGTCCCCACTGTCCCCACCACTGTCCCCACTGTACCTCTGACCCATTGTCCCACCGCCGTCCTCGCCACCGCCTTCACCACTGTCCCCACCACCATTGTACCCTCCACTGTCCCACTGTTTCCACCACATTCCCACTGTTCCCACACCACTGTCTGTCCCCACCACCACCGTCCCCACCACTGTCCAGCTGTCCCCACTGTTACCACCATTGTCCCCGCTGTCCCCACCAATGCCTCCACCAGTGTGTCAATGTCTCCTCTCTCCCCACCATTGTCCCACCACGGTCCCACTCTCCCCACCACTGTCCCACTGTCCCCACTGTACCCACTACTGTCCCACTGTCCCCGCCGCTGTCCCACTGTGCTGTCCCAGCGTCCCCACTGTCCCCATCACTGTCCCAATCCCACTGTCCCCACTGTCCCCACCATTTTCCCCACCGTGCTACTGTCCCACCACTGTCCTCACCACCGCCTTCACCACTGTCCCCACCACTACCGTCCCCACCACTGTCCCACTGTCCCCACCACTGTCCCGCTGTCCCCTCACCACTGTCCCCACCACCACTGTCCCCACCACTGTCCGCCCCTCCCCCCGGTTTTCGAGGGAGGGGACGGAGGGGGGGGTTCGAACCGGTAGTGACCACCCCCGGTTTTCGAGGGGGAGGGGGGGGGGTTCGAACCGGTAGTGACTCCCCTCCCCTTTTCATGATGGACTGGGAGGGGGGGGGGAAGGGGTTCGAACCGGTAGAGACCCCCCCCGTTTTTCCAGAGGGGGAGGGGGGTTCGAACCGGTAGTGACCCCCCACGGTTTTCCGCCAGCAGCGATAGAACACGCTCTTTCAGACATCAAGACATACACACACATACATACATACATACATACATACATACATACATACATACATACATACATACATACATACATACATGCATACATGAATTCATACAGACAGACGGACAGACATAATTACATACACACGTACACACATACATACATACACACATTCATGCATGTGCACATGCATGCATGCATGCAGACAGACAGGCAGACATATAGACAGTAAGGCGTGCGTCTGTGCATACATATACATACATACATCAGTACACACACATATGTGTACTGATACACATATAATATATAGGTATCAGTATCTCTCTCCCTCTCTCCCCCCTCTCTCATACATCAAACAACGGCATGCCTACATCGACAGGGTGAGGCCAAAAAGATACCGCGGGCCGTGCTAACAAACCAAATTCACGGCGCTACGTGGCGAACATTCTGTTTCCTCGGCGATCCTCTCCGGGATGCCTGTGGAGATCCTCTCGGGGATGCCTGCGCACGCCCGGCGCAGCATCACATCACGCAGGAAGGACCGAGGCAAAGCACAGACACGTACACAGACGCACCGAGACACACTTTTTTTGGCGTCGCGGCCGCGCGCGCGGCGGCACGGAGCAGAACGTCGGGGCCATCACGCGGCGTGGGGACCTTGCCGTCGCATTTTTCGGTTTCGTGCGTGTCTTTTTTGCTGGATGGTCCAGGATGGTCCTCGATGGTTCTCGCCGAGAGAAAAAAACACACACACACACACACACACACACACGTCCGAGCGATGCCAAGGGACAGTGGATCCGCCCATCGCATTGTGGATCGACAGCGTCGCTCGCGAGGGGCAGGCGCGAGGGGCAAGAGGCGGGGGGGCGCGGAGAAGGCGGGGAGCACGAGGCAATGCACGGCACGAGCGTGAGGCGGCGTGCCGCGGGGGGGAGAGCTGGCAGGCAAACGAGGCCCAGGGCAAGGCTAGCACCAAGATCTGGCCATCGCTCGGAGGTCCATTCCCTGTGCTTTTGTCGGTTTCGTGCGTGGCCTTTTTCGCAGCATGATCCAGGATGCTCCTTACCAATCCCCGCCGAGAAGAAATACACACGTTCGAGCGATGCCGAGATGAGACAGAGGCAGCTGCGAGCTGCGGGGAGAGGCAAAAGACGGGCCCCCAGAGGGAAGGAACCGCACAGACAAAACCGACCGAGGAACGGTCGGCGAAGAACAGGGCGCAGGGCTCGTAGAGCATTGGCCGACACACTGTGACCGCGGGACCTTGGGGCGTGAACGGCCTATGAGACCCCGGGAGAGTCATCCAAGTCGGCGCTCTCCCCCCTTCCCAAACCCCTCCCCCCGGAGCCCGGTCCGGTCGATTCGGAGAGGGGGGGGAGGGCGTCCGGCCATAGCTCATCAAGGGGGTCCGGCCCTTCCTGGGCTCCCCGGAGCCCAATCCGGTCGATTTGGAAGGGGGGGAGCCGTCCAGCCCGAGCTCATCAGAGGGGTCAGGCCCTTCCCGGGCTCCTTTTGGAGGTCCACGACAGCTTCTGGGGCCGCCCAAGAGGCCCCCAAGACGGTCCAAGAGGGCCCCGAGACGCCGAAAGATCGTTCCAAGACGCCTAAGTGAGATGCTTCCCCCTCCCGACGGCCCCATAGGCTCCCAAGAAGCCCCCAACACGGCACAAGAGGCGCCCAAAACTACCCAGAAGGGCTCCAAGACTGCCCCAAGAGGGGCCTGAAAGGGGGACCACGAAACGAACATTCCAGCCGTCCGCCCCTAGAGGCTCCCAGGAGGCCACTCAGGGCTCTCATAACGTCCTAGACAGCCTCGGAGCCTCTCAAAGCCGTCCCAAAACAACCTAGGAAGCCCCCAAGCAGACTCAAGGTGCTGAAGAGGCCACCAAGCCACGTTGCCACGTTGCCACAAGCCCCGAACGACATCCCACAGGACCCCATGACCCATCAGGATGGCCTCGGACCCACGAACCAAGCACGATGGCGGGATGCCCCGAACGCAACAGATCGAAGGTTAGGGGGGTCTGACAGCAAGTGCCCCCAACCAAGAAGTCGGTTTCGGTGTCGGTTCATGCCGTGCACTGGGTTCTCGCGGTGGTTGTCCCGATGGTTGTCTGGATGGTTGTCCCGGTATTGCCCTACGAGACCCCAGGACCGTCGGAGATCGATCGGAGATGAAGAACTGCACTGGATGGACCACGGGAGCGGCCCTGGGCTGGACCCCTGAGGCCTCCAAGAGGCTTCCCCAAAAGACCCCAAGCACAAAGAGCGAATCATATATTTTCAGCAGGGTCGCCTTTTGACACCAGGAGGGCTCCAAAACGGCAAAAGGACCACAAAGAGAGCTCCAAGACGGGCAGAGAGATTCACAGTTAGCCGGACGGAGAACCGGAACGGACACTTCGAACATTCGGCTCCAAGACGCCCCCCACGTGCCCCAGGGACCACCAGGAAGCCCCCCAAAAAAACAAAGGGGTCGGCGGTGTGGCGTAAGCCTAAGAATCATCCAAGGCGGCGCTCGAGCCGCTAGCCAGTGAATAAGTGCTCCCAGCGAAGGGTTGATGGTGATCGCGGGCGGCATCTTCACCCCTTCCTCTGCCTCCACTCGATGCCTCAATTGTCTATCTATGTTTGCAGATCGTGTGGCAAGATGGTAACGCTCGACCCACGACACTTACCTGCATGATGCAATGGGATAAATTGCAAGGGCCGCGAGAACCTTGCGAATATTGATAAAGGCTCACCCGCACACATACCGGGGCCCGCACCGCGAATGCTGTCGCGCATTCATCCCCATCCTTTGCGGCAGTCAGCTGGGTTGAGCGGCTGCAGGTGACGCACCCTGGTGCGCTCATCTCATACTGGTGATACTACTCAATCGTTCGCTTCCCTCCTTTTTCTTCTTGCCTTCCTCCCTCCTTCCGTCCTTCTCATCGCCGTCTGTATGTCCTTGTCCCTTTTTCTGGGCCCCTTTCGCTCTTCGCCTCCCTCGAAGCAAAAGGGTGGCAGTGAGGGGGGGAGTGCCTGGTGGGTACAGTGCGGAAGGTCAGGAGACGATGACTGGGAAGGATTCATGTGCATGGACGGGGGACAGGGAGAATGACGAGGAGGACTGCACTCGGGGGCGTCTAACAGGGATGGCGCCTTCGAGGGGAGTTCGCAAATCATGACCCGAGGCACGTGAGCGGCCCAAGGGGGGCCGAGGGACGTCTTCAAAGAAGACACGGGGCCACGATATCTGGGTTCCGATGCACGAGGGGAGCGAGATGACCGCGAACAAGGACGATAAAGACAATGACGTCGAAGAAAACGATGGGGGGGAACAGCAGGGCAAGGGGGGGAACCGGCAGCGGCGAATGGAAGGATACTGTTGTCGAGGGGCACGAGGAGGAGGACAAAGAGGAGGGGAAGGAGGAAGAGGAGGAGAAGGCGGAGGAGGAAGCGGAGGAGGAGGAGGAGGAGGAGGAGGAGGAGGAGAGAGGAGGAGGAGGAGGAGGAGGTGGAGGAGGGAGGAGAGGAGGGGAGGAGGAGGGAGAAGGAGGAGGAGGGGAGGGAGGAGGAGGGGGAGGAGTGGGGAGAGGAGGCGGAGGAGGAGGGGAGGAGGAGGGAAGAGGAGAGGGGGGGGGGGGCAGCTGGAAGAGCACGGCGCGCAGTGCAAGAGCGGCGGAGTCGCCGCTGTAATTCTGCGAGGAGATGCGAAGCATGGCCGCGATGACGCCCTCCTCGGGAGTACGCGGGGGCGGGGGGGGCGTGTGGCAGGAGGGGAGGAAAAGGGAAGGAAGATGGCCCTCGTGAAAGTTGGGAGGACTAATTGAGGGGGGGGGAGGAGGAAGAGGAGGCGGAGGAGGAGGAGGAGGAGGAGGAGGAAGTGGAGGAGGACGGATGAGGAGGAGGAGGAGGAGGAGGAGGAGGAGAAGGAGGAGGGCAGAGGGATGAGGAGGTTGGGGTGGGAGGGGCAGGAGCAAGAGCAGGAGCAGGAGGAGGAGGCGGATTGCCCAGGCTGTCTCTTAGGACATGGGTCAAATATGACCACGCTCGTGCCCTGCGAATCGGCATGATCCAAGTGGGTCTGGGCCACGAAGCTTCATGACCTTCGTGACCTATTAACCTCCCATGGGGTCGTCCCCCTCGCGCAATGCATCGCGAATCCGCTCGTGAGGCCCCCCGCCCCACTGCTGTGAAGTTCGGAGCAATTGCTCGCGACCAAAACTAGGCTGGCCTCCCGGGCCCCTGAAGACCTAGAAAACAAATGCCCAAGAAGCCTCCAAGAGGTCGAAGACGCTTCCTCCTGCTCCTCCCTCTGCTGCACAGAGTCCGTGTGGCCTTGACAGTAACTGGATTAGGGGTCGGATCGGAAGCGAAGACAGACCCCTTGCGAGAGGCCAGCCTAGCAAATGGCACGCGGGAGGGTATTGAAGGGAGGCAGGACATGATCTATCATTGGGATTGCGAAGCTACTACTCGGAAGCAAACTGCGGCCTTCACCATCCAACCGGTCCTCAAATCTTTCATCTCTGTGGCGGGTCACTGGAGCCAGCCCAGCATGCCTCGCCACCTGGGGCGCGTGGCCGGGACCGCGGGGGCATCCTCAGCTGCTTCTCCCTTGACACAATTACTGTTGTGAGCTAAGCGCACGAATTCGCCACTGCAGAAGTCGACGTTCGCAACGCCCACCACGAAACACCTGGTGCTGGGACTGCGCGCGGCAAGCTCTACGCCCGGCACGCAGGCAAAAAGGGCTCGAGGCAACGGTAGTCTGGTCTGGCGCGAATAGGCCTGGCCTCTTCGGGCCCACCGTCCTCATTACACGCCCAACTCTCCAACGCAGATTAAGAATACCCGAGGAACACCATCGGGCTTCGTGAGGGCTGCTACCCTCGTGGGGCGAGCGTCAGCTAAGGTTGCCAAGGGCTCCGCGCTAAAGTAACAGCCCTGACCGGAGTGCCCACCTGCTCGTACACGGACTACAAAGTTCCACAGCTCCTTTGCTCAATTCTGCAGTCCTTTGTCAAGGAGCGTCAACTTTCGCGCACTGACAGCAACCTTATCCCACTCTGCCTGAGAGACAACCCGGGTGGTCACGCGGAGGTTGAAATCAGCGCTGCACCTTCCCATCTGCAATAAGGCCTTCAGGTTGGAGGTGGGTGGAATGCCCTTCCTCAGCAGCCCACCCGGGACTGCTGTTCTAGAGGCCTCCTTGATGGGGTCTAGTAGCCCTAGAGGTTCTAGGCGGGAATACTGCCCCCCGTCTGGGGAGGCCCCGCAGCACAGCTGCACAGCCAGGCCCGGGCTGCCCCATCGGCGCCACCGACTGTTGCTGCCACCGCGCGGGCTGCTGCCTGCCTCTGGCGCGCGGCCTGCCGCCTCCGCAACCTTCCCCAGCCTCCCGTTGACGGAGGCTATGAAGTGCTGCCGGGCTTTGCCAACGCATCTCTGCCGCCCGCACGTAGCGCGAAGACGTCGTTTGTCGTCCTTCTTCCGGGGCCTATCGCAGGACGCGCATAGCGACAGGTCCTTGCGGAGGGGAGTTGCTGCTTCAGCCACTCCCCTGCGGTAGCGCATCCCCCAATTCCTGCCTGCTCGTTCCGGCAAAGCCCCTGTCGCCCCATAAGTTAAAACTTTATGAGGCCGACAGTTGCGAACAAGTATGCCTATTGATGTGGGAATATGGTAGGTACATGACAGGCCCTGGGGCATATCTGGGACATGTAACAAATTAGTTGTAAACTTGATAGCTATAAGCTTTTAACAAGCATATACGACGCTGACGCCAATGTAAACACAACTTTCGCCCAAAAGGCTGCCCTACGACTGCGACACACAATTTACAACTGGCCCCCGGGCCGCCCCACGACTGTGAAGCACACGTATCAGCTACAAGCTACTACGTCGCCCCTAAACTTTCACACGAAAGGCTGCCCCACTACTCTGAAGCACAACTACCACCTACTGGCTAACACGGCCAAAGCTACTACATCGCCCGTAACCTTTCGCCCTAAGGGCGTGAAGCACAACGATAAGCTATGAGCTATTCCATATCCTATAAACAATCCCCAAACGGCTGCCCCACGACTGCGAAGCAAAGCCTCAGCTATAACATAGCCTATTAACTTTCGCCGAAAGGGATGCCACACTACTGTGAAACACAAGTTAGAACTGGCCCCTGGGTCGCCCCACGACTGTGAAGCATAAGTATCAACTAAAGGCTATGACTTGGTCCATCCTCTTTCGCCCAAAGGAATGGGGCTGCCCCACGACTGTGGAGCACTAGTTCTAACTTCTAACTGGCCCCTGGGTCCCCCCCCCGACTGTGAAGCACACTTTGCCCGCATGACTCCGGGGCCGTACCGCGGTTGTGCCGTTTCGGAGGTGAGTCCCATGGCCCACTTGCATACGTAATTGACTCTTACCCTCCCGCCGGAGGGCCGCCCCACGACTGTGAAGCACGGTCATCTCCAGCAGTGAGGGGTGACAGATACCATCTGGGCGCAGCCCGCCCCGCGACTGCAAAGAACGATGTAAGCTAGTGCATTTGCAGGAGAAGCACCAGCAAGAGGGAAATGAGAAGGACGCGGGCCAGGAACATGAGCCATGCCGTGGAGGAGGAGGAGGAGGAGGAGGAGGAGGAGGAGGAGGAGGAGGAGGAGGAGGAGGAGGAGGAGCAGCAGGGAGGAAGCGAGGGATGCGGGAGCCCGAGGAGCGCGAGGCACAGGTGTCCCGCCCGTGGAGCGCGCCACATGTCACGCCTCGCGCGCAACGCCGCTCCGGGCTGCGCTGTAGACGTCCACGGCGACACCGACGCCCAAGCCGAGGGCCTGGGCTGGCAGCGGCCGAAGCGAGCGAGAGCAGTCGAAGGGGGGTGCAGCGGCGCGGCAGCGGCACGGCAGCCGACCGAAGCGAAGCGACCGAGCGCAGCCGAGGAGGAGGAGGAGGAGGAGGAGGAGGAGGAGGAGGAGGAGGAGGATGGGGAGGAGGAGGAGGAGGAGGAGGAGGAGCAGGACCAGAGTAAGCCCAAGACTCAGCAGCGATGCTGGAATCCACCCTCCCTCCAAGCTCTCCCAAGAGGCCCCCTGCAGGGAGCCATTTCCACTGCGGGAAACGCCCCGTTGGGGGGAAACCATGCGAAAATCTTGAAGGGTGCCAACATTCTCAGGAAATCCGCCGACGCTGTCGGCATGTGAGAGGGGCTTGTCTGTTCGAGTCGTTGTCTCTGTATCCGTCGTCCCCTTTCCCTGCACCCTCCTCGTCAAGCTTGTCAGAGAGAGAGAGAGAGAAACAAGAAACAAAACATCTAGCAACGTCGTAATCGAGTCGAAGGGAAGCCCCTTCTCTTTGATCTATCCCCCGGGGGAAGGTCCCAAGGGTAAGGGGGTCTGGGGGCCCCGGGGCCTCAGAAAGTACCAAGACAAGCCAAGAGTGCCCCAAGAGGCCGCCGAGACGGTCCTAGAGGGTCCCCCAATCGCCAAACGATCGGTCCAAAACTCCTTCACGCAGACTGTCCTGGAGGCCTCCAGGACGCCCCAAGGCGCCTCCAAGAGCACTCCCGAGATGGCCCCACGAGGCCAAATGTATCGACTTCTCGTTGGTTTTTTGACGATTGGGCGTTCTCGCCTTTTTCACTTCCCGCCGCTCCAAATCGGCGCAACAGGCCCCCAGATCGCCCCAAGACGGCCCAAGAGGCCTCCAAGAGGGCCCCACAGCAGCCCAAGAGGACCCCAAGACAACCCAAAACGTCTCCAAGAAAGATGGCCCGAGATTCCCTCAAGACGGCTCCAAGAGCATGCCCAGACGGGGGACCCGAACGAACATTTCGAGCCCTCGGCTCCAAGAGACTCCCAGGAGGCCCCGAGAGGTTCCCAAGAGGACCCAAGAGGCACAAACAAGAGGCTCCCAAGAGGCCTCTGAGAGGTTCCCAGAGACTTCCCGAAGAGACCCCAAGAACCATTCCTGAGGACTCTGGCCCACGTCAGAGTCGTCGTCGTTGCCGCCGCCGCCGCCGTTGTCGTTGTCGTTGTCGTTGTCGTCGTCGTCGTCGTCGTCGTCGTCGTCGTCGTCGTCGTCGTCGTCGTCGTCGTCTCCCTTCACGGTAGGCGGAACCGGCCGTAAGGCCCCTGGGATTTCAACTCCGCGAATCATCGTAACTGTTGCACCCCAACCCTGACTCGCTCCAAAACACCATTCCTGGTACGTGAACTGTGAGAACCAATACAAATCTTACTATGCGCGGCGCTAAGGCGCGAACCACATTTTGAAAAGGAACCGCCCTCACTCCGTGAAACTCTTGCTGCTGTTCAAGCGAATGTGCGCGGCGCTGCGGCGAGAACTACAATTTGAAAACGTATTAGCTTCAACCTGTGAAACTCTTGCAATGTTTTCATACAGTGCGCGGCGCTAAGGCGAGAAGCACATGTTGGAAAAGTTTCGCCTTCAACCCGTGAAATTCTTGCGAACTTCTAAACCGAATCTGCGCGGCGCTACGGCGAGCGCCAGATGTTGAACACGGCCCGCCCTCAATCAGTGAAATTAGCGAAACCCCCGGCCCGCCCTTACGACTGGCCTCGGGGTGCGACGGGTAGGAGTTATTCCTAAGGAGAAGGAATGGAGGAGGAGGAGGAGGAGGAGGAGGAGGAGGAGGAGGAGAGGAGGAGGAGGAGGAGGAGGAGTGGGAGGAGGAGGAGGAGGAGGAGGAGGAGGAGAAGGAGAAGGAGAAGGAGGAGGAGGAGTAGGAGGGGAAGGAGGAGGAGGAGGGGAGGAGGAGGGGGAGGAGGAGGAGGAGAAGGAGGAGGAGGACCAGTGTAAACCCAAGAGTCATCAACGATGTTGGAATGAACCCTCCCTCCAAGCTCCGTGTCAAAGGCCCTACAACGGTTCATTTCCACTGAGAGCACTGCCTCGCTGAAAGACAACCGTTTGGAGACCCTGATGCATGCCAATACATTGTTCTCGGGATTCCAACGCCACGGATCAACCTGACTGCTGCGTCTTGACGATCCCGAATTGTCCCCAAAATACCCATCATGGGACTTTCACACCGCGAATCAACGTAACTGTTGCGCCCTCATAATCCCGAACCCTGCCACAACATCATGTATGGTACGTTGGTCATGGAAACCCGTGAAACTGTTGCAAATGTCTTAAGCGAATGTGCGCGGTGCTGAAGCGAGAACCACATTTTGAAAAGGGACTGTCCTCAATCCGTGAAACCCTTGCAGTGTTTTCAAATTACTTTGCGTGGCGCCAAAGCGAAAACCGAAAATTGAAAAAGAACCGCCCTCAACCCGTGAAGCTCTTGCGAACTTCTGAAACGAATGTGCGCGGCGCTAAGGCGAGAACCACATTTTGGAAACCATCCGCCCTCAACCCGTGACACTCTAGCGAATGTTTGAAACGAATGTGCGCGGAGCTGAGGCGCGAACCACATGTTGAAAACCATCCGCCCTCAATCCGTGAAACTCTTGCAAATGTGTAGAACGAATGTGCGCGGCGCTGAAGCGAGAGCCGAATTTTGAAAACCACCCGCCCTCCATCTGTGAAGCTGCTGCTAATTTAAGCTTCAGGATCATATGGTGAGGAAATCTCAGGCAAAACGCCCAGCCCGCCCTAAAAGCTGGCCTCGGGGGCGACAGGAAAACAGATTTAGAAGGAAAAGGAATTGAGGAGGAGGATCGCACGCCACTGCGGGGAAAGAGAGGGAGAGAAGTCCGGAGAGGAGGAGGAGGAGGAGGAGGAGGAGGAGGAGGAGGAGGAGGAGGAGGAGGAGGAGGAGGAGGAGGAGGAGGAGGAGGAGGAGGAGGGGAGGAGGAGGAGGAGGGAGGGAAGGGTGGCAAATCGACATCAACTTTCACGCACAGCGTCAGGAGGAGGAAGCGTGGCACATCAACATCGACAGCGTCAGGAGGAGGAGGAGGAGGAGGAGAAGAGGAGAAGAGGAGTGGCAACGTCGACATCGACCCTCATGCCCACCACGTCAGTGTCAGGAGGAGGCGGAGGAGGGGGGGCAACGTCGACGTCGACAGCGACAGGAGGAGGAACGACAGGATAGGCGGCGACGTCGACATCGACCTTCATTCAAACAGCAGCGTCAATAGGAGGTGGAGGAAGAGGAAGAGGGGGGCAACGTCGACACCGCCCTTCATGACCACAGCGTCAGCGTCAGGAGGAAAAGGAGGAGGGGAGGAGGAGGAGGAGGAGGAGGAGGAAGAGGAGGAGGAAGGGATGAGGAAGAGGATGAGGGGTGGCAACGTCGACATCGACTTTCATGACCACAGCGTCAGCGTCAGGAGGAAGAGGACAGGTGGCAAGACAACGTTTTTCCTTTACAGAAACAATCGCGATAACGGCCGTTACTGGCCCCGGCCGAACACCTCCCCCCAGGGAACGCCACGATTCGTGCCGACCTCCGAGATGGCTCTATTCATTCCTAGGCACTCCCAGACGGCGCTGGCGCGAAGCGTGCCGTTGCCGGAACCCCGCGCCCCCTTCTCTCCCCCCGTGTAGCACCCGTCATCGCCATGGGAATGACAAACGCTCTCCGATGTCGACGTCGCCCTTTAATGCCCACGGCGTCGGCGTCAGGAATCAGGGGGCCCTGGGACACACAAACGAACAGACACAAGTAACAGGATTCCCCATCGTTTCCCACACTTTCTAAGTTTTCGTCTTCCCCCCCACTTCCCATAGTTTCGCCTATTTTCCTGGGAATCGACGATTCATTGTGTCTGTGTGTTTGTTTTCTCCCTCCTGAAGGAAGGGCGTACGCGTCGGAAGAAGAGTCGATGAGTCGATGAGTCGGCGCCGCCCTGCCCCAGGGCGGCCAGGCCCGGCCCACCGCGCCGCCGCAGTGGTATGGACGGGCGTGCCAGCGTCAGGATCACCGTTAAGTCGGGCACGTCCCCCTACAGGGAGATTTGGGCGACAAATGATAAGTACCCCACAGAATACCACCCAAATGTTCAAGCATCTGAACCAAAATCGTCCCCCTACTATTTTTAAACTACTTTTGAATATTCCTCCTGTAGAGGGACAGGCCCGACTTAAGACTACCATGACCACCGCCTTGACATATGTCAGTCAACAGCCACTTCCGCTCCCCAGCCAAACCTTGGGGAAGAGATCTCGTGAGACTCTGCAAAGATATATCCCCGACGGCTCTTCGGAATGGAGAACGGCTTGCACGGCACTCCGAACCCCCTGATCCGAGACTGTCCGAAGTGGCCGCACGAAGCACAATACCAAATTCCGGATGACACGCGATAGAACATTGCGTGTGAGGGGAAGGCGACGAAGACTAGTGTCCGGAGGGCAGAGGCCGCTGCCGGCCTCGGGCGCCGGGCCAAAGGGGGGGCTGCGGCGTGCGCCGGGGTCCTCGGAGGTGTCGACCAGCACCCCGTGGCTCTCCAGCTGCGCGGCGGCGGGCGGAGCGTGTTTCGGGGGCGCGGGGTGCAGGACGCAGAGCCGTCGGCGATGCGGACCGCAAAAGCCGCGGTGAACAAGCACAACCATTGCACATCCTTGTGTCAAGTGAGGGGGGCAGCAGAGACGGGCCATGTGTCTGGTGGGGAGGTGACGGGCGAGAGGCGACGCGGGAAGAAGGGGGCCCGACCTCCTCTGGCCATCGCTCGGACGTTCATTCCCCGCGCTTGTTTCGGTTTCGTGCGTGGTCTTTTCGCAGGATGATCCAGGATGCTCCTTAATAATCCCCGCCGAGAAAAACTGCACACGTCCGAGCGATACCAAGTCCTCCCGCTGGTCCTCCTCCTTCTCCTCCCGCAGCCTCTCCCCGCGCCCCCAGGTGTGTGTGTGTGTGTGTGTGCATGTGGCGGGATGGTTCCGCGGCACGCAGGCGTGCCCCCGCTATCCGAATCCCCTCCTCTCCTCCTCCTCCTCCTCCTCATCTTCTAACTCCTCCTCCTCCTCCTCCTCCTCGTCCTCCTTCTCCTCCTCGTCCTCCTCCTCCTCCTCGTCCTCGTCCTCCTCCTCCTCCTCCTCTTCTTCTAACTCCTGCTCCTGCTCCGGCTCCTGCTCCTGCTCCTCCTCGACCTCGTCCTCGTCCTCGTCCTCGTCCTCGTCCTCGTCCTCGTCCTCCTCCTCCTCCTCCTCCTCTCCTCCTCCATTCGTTTTCCTTAACCGCCTGCCGCTGATAAAAAAGGACCCCCCTTAACACGCTAGAGTTAATTATCCACGGCCAACAAGAGTTTGGTCAGGGGCGCGGGGCGCGGAGGCCGAACTTCTTTATCACTGTGAAGTTCACCATCGAGGTTAACTTCCTTCTTATGTTGAGATGACAACATCAAACGAAGCGAAGGCGTTTTCGAGGATGTCTCAAGCGAAACCAACAATTTTTGGAGGTTGCCTCAAGCGAACCGATCAATGTTTCAAGGATGTCCCAAGCGGAACCAACAATTCTTCGAGGATGTCTCAAGCGAAGCGCGAGACTTGTCGATGAGAGACTTCCTCCTCCTCCTCCTCCTCCTCCTCCTCCTCCTCCTCCTCCTCCTCCTCCTCCTCCTCCTCTCTCGCTTTTTTTTGTTTATCTCTCTCTCTCTCTGTCTCTCCCTCTCTCGTTGTCTCTGTCTCTCTCTCTCTCTCTCTGTCTTTCTCCTTCTCACCCTGGCACCCCTGAACTTTGTTCTTATCGCTGTGGTTTACTATCCACGGAAACCGAGGCACATGAGCTACCCTACACGAGCAGATGAAAATCCTAATTTCCATTGTTTGCTTACAAATTAAATGTAATAGGTTTGGACCTTTGGCGTTTCTCCGCCTCCTCCTCCTCCTCCTCTCTCCTTCTGTCTGTCTATCTTTCTCTACTTCTCTCTCTCTAACTATGTGTATATTTCTGTCTCTGTCTCTCTCTCTCTCTGTCTTCCTCCTTCTACCCCTGGCACCCTGGACCTCGATCCTCGATCTTCGATTTTCGACCCTCGGACCTCGATCCTCGATCCTCGGACCTCGCCGCCGTCGATCCTCGGACCTCGATCCTTGACTCTGGGCTCGATCCTCGGACTTCGATTCTCGATCCTCGATCCTCGGCTTTCGGCCCTCTTAACATCACCTCTTTCTCCTCCCACATGCTGGCCTCCGGTAGGCAAGATTTATAATCCCCCCGCGACCCCGAACTTTATTATCCCTGTGGCATTAATCTCGGCAGCACTAAGTTATAGATAACTGCTCTCTTTCGCACCCCGTAGCTAATTTTTAAGGCGGGCCGGGCGTTTCGCCTGAGACTTTCTCACCATGTATGACCCGGACACTTTAAACATGACAACGCTTTCACAAACGGAGGGCAGGTGGCTTTCACAATGTGGCTCTCGCCTTAGCGTCGCGCACATTCCTTGTGAACATTTGCAATACTTTCACAGATTGAGGGCGGATCGTTTTCAAAATGTGGCTCTCGCTTTGGCGCCGCGCCGATTCATTTTAAATGTTTGCAAGAATTTCACGGATTGAGGGCGGGTCGTGTTTAAAATGTGGCTCTCGCTTTAGCGCCGCGCACATTCGTCTTCAACATATGCAACCGTTTCACGGGTTGACGGCGTCTCCTTTTCAAAATGAGGCTGTCGCCTTAGCGCCGCGTGCATTCCTTTAAACATTTTGCAGGAGCTTCACGGGTTGAGGGCGGGTCATTTTCAAAATGTTGCTCTCGCCTTAGCGCCGCGCACCTTCGAGGCGCAACAGTTACCCTGATTTGCGGTGTTGAAGTTTCAAGAATGATATTCTGGTACGATTCGAGATCGTCAAGACGCAACAATCCGATTAATCCGTGGCGTTGGAATCCTGGGAACATTGCTCTGGTATGCTTCTGGGTCTTCGAAGGGTTATCTTCCAACGAGGCAGTCCCTGCACTGAAAATGAATCGTTGTGGGGGCCTGTGGACCAGGGGAGCTTGGAGGGATGGTCTATTCCAACATCGTTGATGCCTCTTGGGTTTCCACTGGTCCTCTTCCTCCTCCTCCAAAGAGGTGGAGGAACGCCACATGTCACGCCTCGCGCGAAACGCCGCTCCGCGGCGCTCGGCACTCGGGGCCGGGCCCGTCGCGGGGCGGCCCTTAGGGCGCCACGAGCTCTGCGGGACCCTTAGCCTTCCATCCTCCAGGCTCCATCGTCCACCCCCCGAACTCCATTTTCAATCCTCCATCCTCCATGCTCCATGTTCCATGCTCCATCCTCCGCGCTCCATCCTCCCCTTCCCTTCCGCTCTACACTCCATTCTCTATCCTCCCCTTCTTTTCCATCCTCCAAACTCCATCCTCCTCCTTCTCCTCCAACCTCCAAGCTTCGTACTCAATCCTCCATCCTCCATCCTCAACCCTCCATCCTCCATCCTCCATCCTCCTCCTTCTCCTCCTCCTCCTCCTCGTCCTCGTCTTCGTCCTCGTCCTCGTCCTCGTCCTCCTCCTCCTCCTCCTCCTCCTCCTCCTCCTCCCCCTCGTCCTCCTCCCCCTCTTCCTCCTCCCCTCCTTCCTCTCTCCTCCTCTTGCCCTCGTCCTCCTCCTCCTCCTCGTCCTCGTCTTCGTCCTCCTCCTCCCTCCTCCTCCTCCTCCTCGTCCTCGTCCTCGTCCTCTCCGCCTCCGCCTCCTCCTCCCCGTCCCCCTCCCCTTCCCCCACCACGCCCCCCCCCCGTTACCCCCCCCCCTTCCTACTGTTCCTGTCTCTCTCCTCCCCTCCTCCTCCTCCTCCTCTCCTCTTCTCTCCTCTTCCTCCCTCTCCTCCTGAGTCCTCCTCATATTCCTCTCATATCCTCCTCTCCTCTCCTCCTCATCCCTCTCCCCTCCCCCTCCTCTCTTCTATTCCCTTCCTTCTCCTCCTCCTCCTCGCTCTCTCTCTCTCTCTCTCTCTCTCTACGTTTCTCTCTCTCTCTCTCTCTCTCTCTCTATCTCTTTATGTATTTTTGTTTGTTCTCTCTCTTTCTCTCGTTTCCTCTCTCTCTCACACTTTCTCTCCCTCCCTCTCGCAACCGCCTCTTCGGCCCCTTGCTTCCGCCACCGCGCGCGCGCGGGCCCGCTGCGCGCGGGCACGGGGCATCCCGAACGCCACTAGGGCGGCCACCGGGGGGGGCGTTGTTGAGAGGAGGGGGGCGGGGGGAGGCCACCTGTCCTTCCTGCAACCTGCTCCTCGAAGGAGGAGGCGACGTGGGAGGGGGCGGCCAGGCCGCTCAAAAGTCGTCGTAATTCGAACCGCGGGTGGCGCACCTTATGCGTAACGCTGTACACTGCGGACCTTGCCAGTAGCGCTGTAGACGTCGTGCACCCCAGGCCTTCATAATCAGCGGCTTCAGGTGGGCTCGCAGTCCCAGTAGTGCTAATGGTAGCTCTGGTGGCAGAGCTTGCTTCTTGAGGTGGCTACGGAAAGGTCTGCCGGCGGACGTGGTCTGCCGTTGGGCCGGCGTCTGCCCGGCGGCAGCTTCCACGTCGTCATTTCCAGGGCCGCGTGGTGATAGCCGCGTTGTCCCTGCTGGTTGATGTAGCTGTTCCAACCCAGTGGCAAGGAAACTGGTTGTTGCACCTCGTCATCCGTTGGGGGGGGGGGCGACCAATACGTCTGCTGCGTGGCCCTGCTGTAGTAGTACGTCGTGCCAGAGTTGACTCTCGTACTCGCCCATCCGGCAGGGAGCTGACGGTTTTGATCGTCACAGCCCGTAGTTGGTGGCCCCAGTAGACGTCGCAACTCAGGTGGTTGCCCTCGTAGCTGAGGTAGTTCTGCTTGTGGCACTCGTAGCACCTGCTGAATTCCTCGTATCTCAGCAGGTGAGTCTCAGAGTTCTGCTTCTAGTCCTTGCCGTTCAGATCGTCGCCGCAGTCGCTCTGCGGAAGGCTCTGGTAGTATTCCTGTAGTCCGCGTAGCTCTAGTCGTGGCCCTCGTAGCTAAGCAGGTTGCTCTTGTAGGTCTCCTAGCTGTGCCCGTGGTCCTCGTAGCGCATCCCGCAATCCTCGTGGCTCTGCTGGTGTCTCTCTTTGTGGCCCTCGAAGTCCCGCAAAGGGCCATTGTAACTGAGCTCTCGGAATTCTGCATCTGTGCCTCGCATGTCAGCTCGTCGCCCTAATCGTTGTGCAGGACGCTCTTGCAATTCTTTCTGTAATCGGCGTAGCTCGGGGTAGCACAGCTGGTGCCTCCGGTAGCTCAGCTGATGGCCCTCGTAGCTCAGCTGATGGCCCTCGTCGCGCAGCAGGTAGTCCTCGTGGGTGGTTCACCTGGTAGTTCTTGTAATCCTGCTTGTGGCGTTCGTGGCTGGTCACGCGGTCCTCGTTGCTCAGCTTGTGGCTCTCGTGGCTTGGCAAGTCGCTCTCGCGGCGCGGCAGGTGAGTCCTGTGGTGCTTCTGGTTGTGGCTCTTCTAGCTCTGGTTGTGGTTATCGTGGCTCCGTCAGCGTGTGTGCCCCGAAGGTCGTCTCATGGCCCTGGTACCTGGTAGCTCTGCTGGCGGCTGCAGCTGCTCAGGGGACACGCTCTCTCGGTAGCCTCCAGGGTCCGAGTCGGAGTCGCCGGCTGCCAAGTCGTAGTGCTTTACATTCTGGGCGTCCCTGTAACCTGGCGGTTGAACCTGGCGGTTGTCGTAGCCCGTGGTCCGTCGTAGTCGTGGGGGTCGAAGGAGTACAGGCCGTTATATGGAACACATTGTCGTAATAGCACTCGTCGTAAACGGCGCGGCCGTAGTCGTACTCGACGCAGGCGGCGCGGCCGATGTCCAACGGTACCGCCACGACGACGTCTCGTGCCTTTCCTGGTGTCGGTTTCGGTGTCGTAAGTACTCGGGCTGCCTGTTTTGCAGCTCTTCCTCGGGCTGCATTTTACGCAGCTCGACCACTGGCTACGACTTACGCAGCTCATCCTGTCGCGTATGGCCGCCGCCATGGAGGCGGTCGTAGCGATGGTCATGATGTCGTTGAGATGTGGCTGTGCCCGTGTCGGATGCTGCAGCCTATTCTCTTGAAAGCTGCCTCCTCCTCCTCCTCCTCCTCATCCTTCCCTTCCTCTTCCTCTTCCTCTTCCTCTTCCTCCTCCTCTTCCTCATCCCCCTCCTCCTCCTTCCGCCTCCTCCTCCTCCTCCGCCTTCTCTTCCTCTTCCTCTTCCTCTTCCTCTTCCTCCCCCTTCTCCTCCTCCTCCTTCCTCCTCCTCCTCCTTCCTCCTCCTCCTCCTTCTCGTCCTCGTCGCCCTCGTCCTCCTCGTCGCCCTCCCTCCTCAAAACCTCCTCTCCCCCCTCCCTCCTCCTCCGCCTCCGCCTCCCCCCCTCGTCCCCCGTCCCCGCAGGCGGAGCAGCCGCCGGCGCACCGCGCGGGCGCGCGCCTCGGCCGCGGTCGGCAGGGGCCTCGGCGCCCCAGGCTGGGGCATGAAGAGGGACTGCACCTCGCCGGTGGGGCGACCAAGGAGGCGCTGGCTGCCGTCCTCCTCCTCCTCCTCCTCCTCCTCCTCCTCCTCCTCCTCCTCCCCCTCCTCGTCCTCCTCCTCCGCCCTCAGGGGCGCCCCGTGGCGCGACGCAACGCCACCGCGGGCGCCGCGGCTGAGCCGGCGGCCCTGGGCCCCGCGCCGCCGGAGGGCGTCGCCCTCGCGCCGTCGGAGGCGTGCTCCAACACATGGAACAAAACAAAGACAGGGACTTTCGTACAAGTGTCCAGGTGTGTCGCGCAAGCGTCGGAAACATACCGCGAACACTCGTGCTGGGGGTCACAGGGGTTGTGGCCTCCCCCCCCGGTTGGGGAGCACCCCTCCCTGGCAGAAGTTTTCCCCCTTGACCCCTTGCGCCCCGAACGCTTCGGGCTCACCCTTCAGGGACGGCGCAGCCGGCCGTCAGGCCTTTACAATAGCGAACACTGGTGCCACATTCTCTTCCCCCCCATGATCGACGGGGAGGTTGCAGCACCGCTCAACGATGTGCTGTTTCACCGCACCTGCCGGGTGGGCCCCTTCCCGAATCCGTGCCTCGGTGCGGATCGTCTGCGCGCCTCGTCTCCGTCGTCGCCGCTGTCGTCGTCGCCGTCGTGGTCGTGGTGCTTGCTGCTCTGCTCGGGACTTGCTTCCCTGATGCAACGACCACCACCTCTTCCCCTCCGTCGGCGACCTGACACGTCGGCGGGAGGTCCGAGCTGCACTTCGCCGCGGCCGTCCCCGGACGCGCCCCGCTTTGATCTTCGCGGAGGGCGCTCTCGAATTGCAGGTTGGGCATGTCCTCCTACAGGCGGATCCTGGACGAAAAATACAACAATATTCAAAAGGGATCAAACACAGACTCAACAATACTCATACCATCGTCCCAAAACTGCTTCTTGACTATTCTTGACTCTCCCACCCCGTAGAGGGACACGCCCGATTGAACTCTACCTGTCCCCGCCCGCTTCGAACTGCGGGGCCCTCGCTGGGCCCAGGGTCGGCGGTGGACACACCTCCCTTTTAATAAACCTCCCCTTAGTGAAAACGGCCTGGGACCGAACCCGACGGACCTGGACCCGCAAACGTGACGGCCGCGACGCCCTCTCGCGAACCGAAAACGGCCAATTCGCCAATCGACGTGTCAGGGAAGGAGGCCTATCCACCCCCGATCCCTGCTGTAGAGGGACGCGCCCGACTTAACTCTACTTTAAGTCGGGCGTGTCCCCCTACAGGGGGATTTCCGACGAAACATAAGAAATACTTGAAACATGCTCCAAACTGGTCAAAACATACTCGAAAAATAGTCCCCAGCCTATGTTTTTACTATTTCTGAATATTCCCCCTACCGAGGGACAGGCCCGACTTAACTCTACTTGTTCCCGCCCGCTTCGAACTGGGGGGTCCCTTTCTGGGCCCAGGTAGGGAAACGAACTCTATGCACCGACGTTTCTTTTCCGACCCTGCGCTGAAATCTGCACAGGAACGCGGATCCTGGTGTATACGGGATCCTGTGTATACATTATTCGTTGCTACCCTTGGAAAGCGTGGGAAAAGCATACCGTTAAGTCGGGCGTGTCCCCCTACAGGGGGATTTTCGACGGAAAAAATACCCCCAAGATAATTAAAGCATAGTCCAAAAATAGTCTGGGGACTTTTTTTTGTTTTGTTTTTACCTTTTTGGAATATGTTGGGGTATTTTGATTTTCCGTCGAAAATCCCCCTGTAGGGGGACAGGCCCGACTCAAAAGTATACCGACCCTCAAAAAGTCGCGGGATGGGAAAAACAACCCGCCACTGGTAGTGCTCTGGTTGCCGACCAGGGGCCGGCGGCGCGACCCCGGGGGCCGCGGCGCCCCGAAAACGCCCCGCGAGGACGGGCCGCGGCGGTGCCGATCGCACACGGAGCACGTTTTTTTGTCTTTGTTGCTTCTTTCTTTTAAAGCCAAAAAATGTTTGTATGTTTTTTGCTTGTTTGTTGTTTTTTAGGGTGGAGGGCTCTCTGGGGCCCAAAAGGGGGGCCGTCAAGGCCCCCTCTCCGGGGCCCTTTTCTCCCCCCCCTCATCTGGGCCGCCCCCGCCGCGGTGGATATGGACATGTTTCGGCCCCTGGGGGCCCTTCCACCGCCCATCGAGATCTCCGAAATCGACCCTCCAGGCGCTGGTTCTGTATACATCCCCGCCTCGGACTGAGGACAGCGCCTCGCCAGCGGGGCGGCCAGGAAGACACCAGCTATACTCTTGCTGGAGACGTCCTTGCAAAAACCGCCCCACGGGCCCCCAGCGCGCCCCCGAGGACCACTTCCGAGGATGCACCAGGCGCGCCGAGCGTGTTCCAATCCGTACGGATTGCGGGGTCGCCAGAAGTCTCGACCCATTCCCCAGGACCGGTTTTTCATCCCGAGTCGTTTCTTGACGGTCCCGGGGCCCGGCGAGGGCCCCTCGAGGCCGACAATTGCGAAAAACCTCCGTCTTGATTTTTTCAATACGTTGGACCTCTGGGATTGGGACACGCACGACGTCGCCCTCGCTCGAGACACCTTCGCGACAATCCCCCCGCTGTCCCCAGCACGCTCTCAGGGACCATGTCTGGGGATGCACTGGGCGCGCCTGGCGCGCTGGGCGTGTCCTATTCCGGCGCCCTGGCTCGAGGCATCCTCACAGAAATCGCTCCGCGGGCTCCCTGCGCACCCCCTGGACCATGTCTGGGGATGCACCAGGCGCGGGATGCACCGGGCGCGCATCTGGGGCGCTCCTTCTTCTTATCTGCAGAAACTCCCGATCAACCGCAGAGCGGCCGACTAATAACTACTAGTACTCATCTGTTCGCATACGGTATGTTATATCATATTATGGTCTGTTCTGGTTTGTACGAGTACCTTTCCTTCTACACTGTCATGCCGACATGTGATATCATCTGCAATATGATATAACGTCTGTCTGTCCGTATAAATGATTATGATGAGATTTTTGAGGCCATTCACAAAACAGTGCTTGCACTTAAGTCTTCTTTCTTCTCTTCTAAAGCACTGGGCCTGCGGGCCGGTCTGGCGCCTCCGTGCTCGCCGTCGTCGCACCGTCGCCATACCGTCGCCGCCCGTCGTCCAGGCCTGCGGGCCGGTCTGGCGGCTCCGTGCTCGTCATCGCCGCCCCGTCGCCACCTCATCGCCGCCAGTCGTTTGGGCCTGCGTGCCGGTCTGGCGGCTCCGTGCTCGCCGTCGCCGCCCCGTCGCCGCGTCGTCGTTGCATTGCTTCGCATTGCATGCGTTGCATTGCGCTGCTTTGCGTTGCATTGCATTGAATTGCATTTCTTTGCATTCCTTTGCGTTACAGTGCGTCGTATTGCGTTGCATTACGTTGCATTGCGATGCTTTGCTTTGTTTTGCTGCGCTTCGCTATGCAGTGGTTTGAATTGATTTACATTGCTGCGCACCACATGGGTTGCACCAACTAATTTGCATCTCATCGACTGCACCATCTAAACAGCACTGCATTTGATTCACGAGATCACTGTCATCTATCTTACATCATATATCATATGTGTACATCTGTATATACATGTTTATGTGTATATATGTAAAATATGTGTATATAAGTACGTGTATATATATATATATACTAGAACCATCGCGCACGCCGCACGCTTCGCGCGCGCTCAGGTTCAACCTCAGACCCGCCGGGCAACGTCTGAATGCCGGATTGTGCTGCTGGACAGCAGGGTGGCATGATGCTCGTGTGAGCGGCAGTCTGCTTTAGACAACCAGGGAACCGAAGGCCCCGAGCAACATCAGCCGCGGCATCACCAACACCATAAGCAATGGGGAAGACGCCCGAGACGACGGAGAATGAGGCCGAGGTGGGACCCGCCGAGTCAACCGGACGAGACGGGATGACGAAAAAAAGTCCCAACGGCCCTCGCGGGCGTGAGACGTCAAGGAAGCTCGTTCTGCGAACCCCCTCGTTCCTTTCGGGGCGGGGACCTTCCCCTACCGCCTACCCCTACACCCTCCCCCTGGACGAGGGCGTGTGGCGGGCCGGTCGAGCGTCAAGGATGGCCCCAGAAGGTTCCAAGAAGGCCCCCAGGAGCCCAAAGCCTCAAAGATCGTTCAAAGTGTGCCAAACTGGTTTCAAGATTTCTCCAACACGCCCCCCAAAAGCCTTCCATACCGCCCCCAGATGGCCCGCAGTGCCATCCCAGCACCCCAGGGAAACCTCAAAGAAATCAAACTCCTTCCGAAGCGTTCGAAACATTATGATGTTTGCCTCCTCCCAGTGTCGATTCTGATCGTTTCTGAAGGCCAGAAGGCGACCCCAAGATGGGCCCAAGTCGGCCCCCAAAGGGACCCAGCAGGAGCGACATACAGCTCCGAGAGCAGAAGACACCGCCTCAAGGGTGGCCAAAAAGCGGCCCAAGAAGTGATTTGTCAGACCCCGATTGGGGCATCCCCCCCTGTCTGATCGATGGCCGTCAAGATGGTTTGACGAGGAGCCCAAGACGATTGCAGAATGAGAGAATTATTATTTTTCAAGGATTGCCGCGTGGAGGAAGACTGCTGAATGACGAAGCCCCTCTCATACACGAATTCCCGCATGAAGGGGGCTGCATAACGACAAATCCTTCTCGTACACGGATTGCCGCGTGGAGGAGGGTGCAGAGAGACAAAACTCTCCTCGTACGCAAATTGTCGCGTGGAGGAGGACTGCGCCTCTCGTGCGCGAATTGTCGTGTGGAGGTTGGCCGCAGAATGGCAAATCCCTCTCGTACACGGATTGCCGCGTGGAGGAGGGATGCAGAAACACAAAATCCTCCTCGTACGCCTTTGTGTCGCGTGGAGGAGGACTGCGCAGTGAAACAAAGCCTCTCGCACGCTGAATGCCGCATGAAGGAGGGCTGCAGAAAGACGATATCCCTCTTGTACACGGATTGCCGCGTGGAGGAGGGACGCAAAGAGACATACTCCCCCTCGTGCACCTTTTTGTCGCGTGGAGGGGAACTGCGCAGTGTAAAGAAGCGGAAGGTTGTGGTCGTAGCCCGGTGCCAGCTGCAGGCTGCGGGCAACCTCCCCATGCCGCCTTGTCCGGCATGGGCCGGAGGCGCGTGCGGAAGGGCCAAAATCGGAACAACTCTGCACAAGAGTGCGGAGCCCGCCCGGGCTCCCGTGCCGCACCGCCCCCATCGTGTCCCTGCCCCGCGTGTGGGGGCAGGGAGGGCCGGGGCCTGGGAATGAACATGAAAAAGACCCAGGAAACCGTACCATTCAGCCTCGCCCTCACGAGGAAATGCACCAAGCAAAAAACAACTTAAATAAATATTGCCAGAAACCTGCCCAGCATTCCAAACTCCACCTCCAAAGCAAGCGGCGCTGGCACGACCAAAAGCACACCTACCCCGAGGACGCGTAATGAAGGATACAGCCGTAGGCGATCCACGTGCCATTCTATGCAACTCCATGGGATGCTACATAATCCATAAAGGGCTGCTATTGAATCCCGAAGGGATACTATAGAATCCCCAAGGGATACTATAGATCCCTAAGGGATGCCATAGAATCCCCATGGGTCCCGGCGTGTTGCCCCGCGTCCCTCAGTGGCCTGCCACACAGGGGGGAGGCGCATGCCCAAATGGCTTGAACCACAAATGAAGAGAGGGAAAAGAGCGTGCCCACGTCAGCCGCAAGGCCACCAGAGCCACGGGAGTCAAATCCGCCGCCGTGCATCCTGTACGGCAGAGGCGCGTTAGAAGCTGGGCCGGCACGGGAACGAAAAGAACTCCATGTGGGGCCAGGGCAACGATCCTCGATACACGTGTGCCGGAATGATGTTTCGGTGTGGCTCCGTGTGGGGCCAGGGCCACGATCCTCGAGAGGGGTGTGCCGAAATGAAGCTTCGGTGGGCCCCCTTGTGGGGACTGTGCCGCGATCCTCGAAAGGGGTGCGCCGAAATGATGCGTCGGTGGAGTTCCCTGTGGGACCAGGGCGACGATCCTCGAGAGGGGTGTGCCGAAATGAACCTTCGGTGGAGATCCCTGTGCGGCCAGGGCCGCAATCCTCGAGAAGGGGCGTGCCGAAATGAAGCGTGGGTGGAGCTCCCTGTGGGGCCAGGGCCACGATCATCCTTGAGGGGCGTGCCGGCATGAAGCTTCGCGAGCAGAGCGCCGCGAACTCCTCCAGCACCCTGCGGCACTGCGACTCCGTGTTGGGGCGCGCCGCCATGGTCTCCAGCGCGCTGCGCTGCCCCAGGGGCGGCCGCTCGGCCAGCAGGCGCCTGGCGAGGGCCGCGCGGCGCTCCCGCGCCTCCGACGCCGCCAGCGCCGGGCGCCGCGCGGGCCTCCACAAGTCCCGCGGCTGCCCGGCCGCCAGCCGCCGCCGCGCCAGCATGCGGGGCGGCCTGCCGCGGGGGCCGAGGGCGGCCGGCAGAGTCTGAAAACCAGGAGCGCCGCCCTCGAGACAGAGCGTCGGCGGGGTTGCGTTCTGACGGAATCCATATGCAGTGCAATCTCGCCCCCGTTGCAAGTGACATCATACATATGTTCAGAAGCGGGAGGCGCAAATAGGTAGAGGCCGCTCTCCCCTTCGCCACGGCTAGACACAATGGCATGTTATCCACGAGGGCGAGCACGCGCTTCCCACGACATGCCGAGGATCTCAAGAGGTGCTTATAGGCAACAACCAAGGCGTCGGCCTCCAGACCCAAGATGTCCCGGCCCTCCTGGACCTGCGCGGCCACTACTCATCGCCAAGATTTCGCGTCCAGTAAACCAGCTGGGACCTCGTCGAAGTCCTTCGACCTCTTGCCCAAGCCCAAAATCAGCGGTTCCTCCGAGACGCCGAACGTGCCGAGGTCATGGAAGGGGTCCTTCACGGGGCTCGTCGGGCTCTGGGAGATCTCCAAGGGCTCCTTCGTGGCCTCGCTGAAGTGCGGGGCGTCGTCCAGCGTGCCTGGCGACGCCGTCGTAGGCGTGGCCCTCAAAGCTCCATTCAGCGGATCGCCAGGCTGCAAGAGAGCGGATGTACGAAAATAATGGTTATTCTGCATGGGCGACGATTCGGCGATGCAAGCGGGCGCAGAAGGAGGGAGGAGGGCTCTGTCTCTGGCGCGCGCCCCTCCCTCGACTTTGCATCGCCACCGCTCGCGCTGACGCCCGCAGCGGGCGGTGAGGTCACTCGGAGCCTGCCGGCGGCGCGCCCCGAGACCCTCTTCACTCGCGTCGCTGGCCACCGGCCGCGAAGCCTGACCTCTCCAGCGAAACGCTCGCCGCGCGGAGCGCGCGCGTCTCTCCTCGAGAGACCGCGGCCGCCGCGAGGCGGCAACTGTGTCCTCTCGGCCCCTAGGGGCCCGGGCGAGGCGCAAGCGCGTCGTCGCGCGCGCGCGCGTGGCGCAGCCGCGCAGATAACTGTCGAGCGGCGGGGGCGGCGAAGCCAAAACTATTGATTTCTGATAGACTGCGTTGCACTTTGAGCGAGGGGCGCTGGCGAAATGCGAAAGCGCGCATGCTATTGTTTTCCTTCTCGTAGGATCTCTAGCAGGCGAGCTAAGCCAGGCGGCGGCGTTTCCCTACCGTTTTGGCAAAGCGTGAGAACGGGTTCGGGAGCTTGCGGTTCCGGGGCAGCCGGCTGGCGTCGAAGTGCGCCTCGCCTCTCGGTAGCCGCACGACCACTGTGTTTTTTCACAAGCCATTTGGAATGGCCTGGGTTCCCTGGGCCCATCAGGGCGCCGTCGGGCGCGTCGAGGTCGACCGTGGCGACGATGGCCGTGGAGAACAAGTACTGGGTGTACGAGTACATGCCCGTCGCCGACTGCCCGCCCTTGCTCTTCGCATTCCGCCCTCGCAGCACGGCGCGCCACCTCCTGAGCTGGGCGAAACTGTTCACGTTGTCGAGCACGATTCCATCGTGCTTCTCCCAATCGAACCCTCGCAGGTCCAAGTGCTCTGCCTCTTCTACCGTGACTGTGTAAGGCTGCTCGAACAAGTCCTCCGCGAACGTGGATTTCCCGGACGCGCTGTCCGCCCACAGAACGAGGATTTTCCATCTGAAATCCAGCTGCAAGAAACTGCCCCCCCACTCCCGGACGGCCGGGAACTCGCGGGGCGGCGCCTTCAGCTTCTGGAGCTCCGCGCCCACCTGCGCGACCCGCTTGTCCACCCGACTCTCCCGCTCGTCCTCCATCACCTGTTCGACCTCGCGCTTCCTAGCAGAGTAACCGAGCCGGACTCGCAAGGCCAGCGCCGTGTACTCCTGGTGCGGCAACTTCCCGTCATGCCAGAGGTCGTCAAGCCACTTCCCTTGCACCCGGTACTCCTGAAAAGGCTGGTAGTTGGTGCCAGAGTAAAGGGTGCCGGCTTTCGGGGCCCAGGCGTAGAAGTGGCCCCTGTCGCTGGCTTCCTTGAAGTTCGCGCCCCGGGCTTTTTCGTCAGCTGCAGGCCCGGCGCCGCGGCGGGCACCGACGTCGCCTGCACGTCCGGCAGCACTCCGCGAAAGCCGAAAACGGCGCGGGTTCTGTTGTCGAGTGCATCTTTTAAGTTCACCTTCCAATGAAAGTGTACCCTGCCGTCCAGCTTGCTGTGGAGGGAGCGCTCCAGGGTCGAAGAGCTCTTCTCTACATGCAGTTCCTGTTTCTTGTCCGCCTTCCACTCCCTCCATGCGCGCCACAAGGCCGCCGGAGTAGTTGCTGCGGGGGAACCGTCAGGAAACCTCTTGCCAAAGAAGCCGTGGTTGTACGTCAGGAGGAAGCTGCGACCGCGCAGCCTAAAAGAGTCACCGTTGCTAGGTGCGCCCTCGGGCGCGGAAGCCCCGTCTTCAGCGGGGCCAACGTCCTCGCATGTCGACTTGTAGGCGGCCCAGGCTTTGGCAGAGTCTGCCTTCACCTTGTCAGGCGCCCCCGATGCAGCAACGGCTTCGGCCATCGTCTGCACTTTTGCGCGGGCTGCGCCATCGGGGACCACAAAGACCCCTGCTGTCTTTGCCAAGGCCCGTAAAGTTTTCACATGCTCCCGCCGGAGGTTCCTCAGCTCGGCAGCCGACGGCATGGCTTGGGCCAGTATGTCAACTGAGCGCATGATGGAAAGACGACGTGGTCGACGAGGTCTTCTCTGCAAATCAGGGGTATGAAATTGTCCATGGGCGTGATTAAAGTTTTGCCTTTTTTAAACATAGCCGAAGTAATGGCTACGATGCATCCACACGCTGTTGTGGCATGAGGGGGTGCTTCGATCGGTGTCGTTGTGATGTGGAGCTGGTTGCACCGAGATACAATCAGTGCTACTTGGGCGCAGCAGCGCCTGAGCACCGCAGTGACAGGGAGCACCCAGATGCCTGTGGGCACAACATCGCCAAGATCCACCCTTATCCTTCCACCACTCCTCCCTCCAACTTGAAGTTGCAGCGGAGACACACTGGACGAGTTTGTATTTGATTTGCGCTGGGAATCGAGACTGCTGCGACCGCACGCGCATGTCTTCCAAGACAGTTGTTTACCTCTTGGATTCGGCCTGAGCTGGATCAATACTGCCTGAGTCCAACAACGCCTCAGCACCAATGTGACTCTGAGCTCTTGCTAGTGAACACCAGGCACGCAGAGCGCAGCAACATCGATAAGCATTGAAAGTTCATCGATGCAAGCTCCACCCTCATCCTTCCACCCGTCCTCCCTCCAACATGTCCTACATGTTGCAGCGAGGACAAACTGGATAATTTTGTATTGGATTTGCGATAAGAACCGAGACTGTTGCGACCACGCGCGCATTTACTGCTCGAAGGCCATGTCTTGACTGCTCGATTTGGCCTCGGAGCCGGATCAACACTACCCGAGTCCAGCAACGCCTGAACACCACTGTGAGTGTGAGCACCCGGCCGCCTGTGAACGCCACATTGCCAGTGAACACCACTGCTGACAAGCAGCTCAAGTACGCAGAGCACAACAATATCAATAAAGCCTGAAAGTTGATCGATGCAAGCTCCTCCCTCATCCTTCCACCCCTCCTCCCCCCAACTTGCCCCGAAAGTTGCAGCGAGGACGACCTGGACGAATTTGCATTGGACTTACGATAGCAGTCGAGACTGTTGCGATCACGCTCGCATTTACTGCTAGAAGGTCGTGTTTTGACTGTTGGATTGGGCCTTCGGAGCTGGGGTGAAACCCTAAAAAACGACTTGGCCCAGACAATATCATACTTCGAACGATCCCCACCGAAACCTTCGGCGCCTGTCCTACTCCTCGTCCTCCTCGTCCTCATCATTTCCCTCCTCTTCCTCCTCCTCCCACTCCCTTCCCCTCCTCCCTCCTTCCTCCTCCTGTCCTCCTCCCTCTTCCTCATCCTCCCTCTTCCTAACATACGGGTTTTCCAATAGGAAATGGGGTGCATCAGGCGGCCCAAGCAGAAGCAGCCCAAACGGGCGGATGAGTCGTGCTTTCCCTGTTGGATTCGGCCTCCGGGGTGGGGTCGGAAAAAATAAAAAACGATTTTGCAGAAAAGGCCGGAACCCGGAAAACTAGTGGAAAACATATTGGTTTTCCAATAGGAAATGGTGTAGATCAGCCGGCCCAAGCAGAAGCAGCCCAAACGGGCGGGTCCTTTTCAAAAATGTGCCTGTTTGGGGGTGACAGCAGTATCTCCCCCCAAGGGGTCCCCCCCTTGAAGGGGGGGGCGGGTGTCTCCCCCCGGCACGTCCCCCCCTCCGGAAGGGGGCCAGCGCCGCACCGGGGGCCTCTCCGGGCGCCACCCCAGAGAGCGGTCGGCCAGACCGAGACACTGGCCGGCGGTGAGGCGAGAACTAAGGAGTGGCCGGCATTCGGGCGAGAGCGCATGTAAACGTCGTAACCGCCGTCGTCGTCGTCGTCGTCGTCGTCGTCATTGTCGTCGTCGTCGTCGTCGTCGTCGTCGTCGACGCGGCCGTTGGGCTTCAAACGTATTTTGAATGAAGTCTCAAACGAAACGCTCGTTTTCCAACCGTTTGGAAATCGATGCTATTGTTTCGAACCGACGTGGAACCGTCAGAACAACCATTTTTGTGAGGGTGTCCCACGCGGTTTGCCGTTTTCGAACCGCCATCCCCTTCTTTCGAACCGAGTTGGAACCGTGATAACAAGAATTTGTGTGAGGATGTCCCACGCGGTTTGCCGTTTTCGAACCGCCATCCCCTTCTTTCGAACCGAGTTCGAACCATCAGGACAGCAGATTTTGTGAGGATGTCCCGCGCGGTTTGCCGTTTTCGAACCGCCATCCTTTTGTTTCGAACTGGGTCCAACGCCGTATTTTGAGGGAAGCCCCACGCGAAACGCTCATTCTGCTTTTGTTTCGAACCGCATTCTATTGTTTCGAACCGAGTTCGAACCGTCTTGAGAGCAAATTTTGTCAGGATGTCCCACGCGGTTTGCCGTTTTCGAACCGCCATCCCGTTTGGCTTAATAAAGTTTTAATTTAAGGAACCAAATCCAAGCTCGAACCGCGCCCCGACAGCCCAGGTTCGAACTCCGCCCCGAAAGCGAGGCACCTCCCCGTAACATTGTACCAGGCTCCACGTCCCTAACGGGGCGACTAGCGACGTGCGCTCGCATTGCGGACGCAGGATGCACTTTTGCCGACCCGTCAAAATGGGGCAACCTGTCATCGCGGCACAGACGTGTGCTCGCAATGCGGACGCAGGATGCACTTCTGCCGACCCGTCAAAGTGGGGCAATCTGTCATCACGGCACAGACGTGTGCTCGCATTGCGGACGAACGATGAACTTCTTCCAGCCCGTCAAAATAGGGCAATCTTTCATCACGGCACAGTATAATCTTCAAGGGATGCGACATAACCCCTAAGGAGAGGCTGCGGAACACCTAAGGAATGCTATATAATCCCAAAAGGGATGCTGCATAATCAATGATGGAGGCTATAGAATCCTGATGGGATGTTATATAATCTTGAGAGGGATGCTGTATAATCAATGAGGGATGCTATAGAATCCTCAAGGGGATGCTATATAATCTCTAAGGGATGATGTATAATCAATGAGGGAGGCGATCTAATCCCTAAGAGGTGCCATAACATCCCTGAGGGATGCTATAAAATCCTTGAAGGATGCTGTATCATCCGTCGAATCCTTAAGGGGATACTATAGAATCCTTAAGGGGATGCTATTGAATTCTTTAAAGGATGCTATAGGAGCCTTGAGGGATGCTACAGAGTCCCTGAGGGATGCGATAGAATCTTGGAGGGATGCTACAGAATCCATAAAAGGCTGCTACTATAATCCCGAAGGGATACTATAGAATCCCCAAGGGATACTATAGATCCCTAAGGGATGCCATAGAATCCCCATGGGTCCCGGCGTGTTGCCCCGCGTCCCTCAGTGGCCTGCCACACAGGGGGGAGGCGCATGCCCAAATGGCTTGAACCACAAATGAAGAGAGGGAAAAGAGCGTGCCCACGTCAGCCGCAAGGCCACCAGAGCCACGGGAGTCAAATTCGCCGCCGTGCATCCTGTACGGCAGAGGCGCGTTAGAAGCTGGGCCGGCACGGGAACGAAAAGAGCTCCATGTGGGGCCAGGGCAACGATCCTCGATACACGTGTGCCGGAATGATGTTTCGGTGTGGCTCCGTGTGGGGCCAGGGCCACGATCCTCGAGAGGGGTGTGCCGAAATGAAGCTTCGGTGGGCCCCCTTGTGGGGACTGTGCCACGATCCTCGAAACGGGTGTGCCGAAATGATGTGTCGGTGGAGTTCCCTGTGGGACCAGGGCGACGATCCTCGAGAGGGGTGTGCCGAAATGAACCTTCGGTGGAGATCCCTGTGCGGCCAGGGCCGCGATCCTCGAGAGGGGGTGTGCCGAAATGAAGCGTGGGTGGAGCTCCCTGTGGGGCCAGGGCCACGATCATCCTTGAGGGGCGTGCCGGCATGAAGCTTCGGAGAAACCTTCTGTGAGGCCGCGGCCACGATCCTCGAAAACGGTGTGCCGAAATGAAACTTCGGAGGAGCTCTCTCTGAGACCAGGGCCACGATCCTCGAGAGGGGTGTGCCGAAATTAAGCTTCGGAGGAGCTCCCTGTGAGGCCAGGGGCCCTATGGGATTCCTATCAGATTCCTAGAAATGACTCCCATAGAACTCGTAAAAAAGCCCTATAGGCTTCCCGTGGGATTCCTCTAGGACTCGTAGAAAGGCCGTATAATTCCTATAAGACTCCTATCGGATTCCTATAAGATTCGGAGAGGCCCTATTGGAATTCTCATAGGATTCCTACAGGATTCCTATGGGATTCGTAAAGGCCCTGTCGGATTCCTATAAGATTCCGAAGAGGAATCGTGCAGGTCCTCTAGGATACTTTTCAAAAGCGTATAGAAGTCCTATCGGATTCGTACAGGCCCTACAGGATTTCTATGGGAGTCCTATAGGATATGTAAACTCCCTCTGGGATTCCTATCAGATTCCTATAGGAGTCCTATAGGGTTCGTAAACGCCCAATATGAAACCGATGAGACTCCTATAGGAATCCGATAAGATTCGCAGAGGCCCTATCGGATTCCCACAGGTTTGCTATAGGATTCTATGGCACTCGTAGACAGGCCTTAAAGGAGTATTATGAGATGCCTATGGGATTCCTATCGGAATCGTAGAGGCCCTATAAGCTTCCCATGGGATTCCTATAGGAATCCTAAAAGCCCTATAGGAATCCCATGGGATTCTTGTTGGACGCCTACAGGATTCGTAGGAGGCCCTATAGGATTCACATCGGATTCATATAGGGTTCCCATCGGACTCATGCCGTATAGGATTTCTATAAGATTCAAAATGGATCCCTATAGGATCCGTAGAGGATTCTTATAGGATTCGTAATGAGGCCCTCCAGGATTCCTCTGGGACTCCTAAAAAGGATTCCGATAGGCTTCGTAGAGGCCCTATGAGATTCCCAAGAAGGATCCCTATAAAATCCGTAAATGATTCGTAAGGAGGCCCTATAGGATTGCCAAATAATCCCTATGGGATTCCCATAGGACTCCTAAAAGCCCTATAGGATTCCAATGGGATTCCCATCGGAATCCTACAAAGGCCTTATAGGTATCCTACAGGCTTCCTAAAAGGATTCCTATCGGATTCGTGAAGGCCCTATAAGATTCTCATCGGATTCCGATGGGATTCCCATATGATTCGTAAAAAGGCCCTATCGGATTCCTATAAGATTCCCATGGGATTCCCATAGGATTCGTAGAGGCCCTATAAGATTCCTGTGCAGAGACCCTATAAGATTCCCAAGAGGAATCCCATAGGATTCGGGGTAACGTGCGTTGCGTTGCGTTGCCGCCGGGGGGGGGTGGCGGGCGCCAGTGAGTGGTTTCGTCAACAACAACAACAACACAACAACAACAACAACAACAACAACAACAACAACAACAACAATCACTTTACCCGAACGCTCAGTGTTCTCACCAGTGCCAGGGTTTTCATGCGACGCCAGCCAATACCCCCACTTTGTGGGGGGGCAGTGCAAGCTCTACCAAATATCCACACGACTCTTCGCCACCACCCACACCCAGCTTCCCGCCCTATGACGTTCGGACACTTCACTTCGTGGCCTGCGGACGACCGTGGCTACTACACTGGCGTGGAGTACACACCCACAGAAGTTGTTAAGCCTACGTTCGTACACCCACAGAAGTTGTTAAGCCTTGTTAACCCACAGAAGTTGTTAAGCCTTCCACAAAACATCTGTTGCATATGATGCATATGGTACATGATACACATGATACACATGATACGTACTCACAAGATAGTTGATCACATCTTTAGGGCAAATTCCTGAGGGATGTGGGAATACACAAGAGAGAGGATATGGTTGTCCCGTGGGTTTGGAGATTTCGGCGTGCGCGCGCGAAGAAAAAACGAATGTGTCCCGCATGGTATTATTTGACAGGGATGATGGCCCTGGCAGGTGCGCAACCGTTGTCGCAGAAGTTCGAAAAAGTTGCTCGCAAAAGCCCGTTTGACAGAAATGTTTAAAAAGTGTTGGGTTTCCTACGAATCCGCAAGAGCGCGCGGGATGAGATTTTGACATTTTTTTGTTGAAAAACCATTGGTTTTTTGATGTTTTTATGTTAAAATCGCTCCGAACACTAAGCTTTTGGAAGGATTTCGTCTTGCGCGCGCGAATGTCCACTTTACCTTATTTTTTGCAAGGGATTCTTGAAATTTGATTATATTAGAACAAGAAATGTCATTTTATAGTGTTTTTTGCAAGGGAAAACGGATTACAACAAAACAACCGGATCTGGACCCCATCCACTTTTCTGAAGCTTTCGCGAAAAAATGATGAAAATGTAGCTGCGGCCTAGGCGCGGCGGGGGGGCCGTGCACCAGGGGTCCCAACAATAATTATTCTTTAGAATTAATAATGTTCAACAACAACACCAACAACAACAACAACTGATCCCGCCAGATACTCGCAAGTTAGCCCAAAATCGCGAGCTCGCTCGAGACTTTCCCACACTTTACTCAGGAATCGCGCTCTCGCCCAGGACTTCCTTGCAATTTCCTAAGGCGCCGCGCCCTCAACGCCAAGGAGATGCGCTCTCGCATGAGACTTCCTCGCAACTTACTTAGGCCCTGTGCTCTCGCCAAAGAGTTTGTGCAATCTCACGAGGTTCGCATCAAGGCCCTGCCCACCCGAGCCGCCCATCAGGGCCCGCCCGCCAGACCGTCACCCCGCCGACTCACACGTATGACCCATCGGGGCCAATCCGGAACGTCTGGGGCGCGCCGAACAATCCAGGGGGGTCGGACTTCGCGTCGACTTCGAGGGATTCGAGCACGGTGGTTACCCTATCTCAAGCTTCGGACGAGGACCTTATTCTCAGCCACAGGGAGCTTCCCTGCTCCCTGCTCGCTGTTACCTGCTACATCCTCCCTCCTCCCTCCCTCCTCCTCCCTCCCTCCCTCCTCCTTGCTCCCTGTTCCCTCCTCCCTCCTTGTTCCTCTTTCCTCCCCCCTCCCTTCTCCCGCCTCCCTCCTCCCTCCTCCCACCTCCCCGTTCCCTGTTCAATGTTCCATCCTCTCTCCTCCCTCCTCTCACCTCCCTCCTCCCTCCTCCCTCTTCCTTCCTCCCTCCGCCCGCCTCCCTCCGCCCTCCGCCCTCCGCCCTCCCCCCTCCCTCCTCCCTCCTCCCATCCTCCCCCCTCCCTCCTCCCTTCCCTCCCCCCCCTCCCCTCCCCCTCCCTCCCTCCCTCCTTCCCCCGCCCCCTCCCTCCTTTCCCTCCCTCCCTCCCTCCCATCCCTCCTCTGTGCTCCCTCCTCCACTCTCCGTCCCGCCTCACTGTTCCATGCTCCCTCCTCCCTCCTCCCTCTTCCCGGTTCCCTGTTCCCTCCCCCCTCCCCCATCCACAATGACTCAGTCTGAATACTACTCTCCTCTCTCTCCTGATGACGTCTGGAAGTTGTCCCGCCCCCCTCCGCGTACTGATTTCTTATACACAGGATCCCCAGGAGTTGGTACAACATGTTGCTCCCGCTAAAGCGCTGGCCCCATCTCTGCGCCTCTGGTTGTTCCAAAGTGTGCCCCCGCTGCAGCGCGGGCGTTTTCGGCCCTTCGAAATAGGCCCCAAAATCAAACATATGCCCCCCGAAAAAAAGCCATCGGAAGTGATTACACATTCGGTGTCGATTCGTTGATTTGTTGGGCCGCAGAAGCCCCCCCCCACTTTGTGTCGTCGTCGATGTCAGGATGTATCAAGCGGGAGTTCCGTTTCTACTTTGGAGGCGCATGGTCAGCGGGTGCTCTCCATCAGCCCCGCCTTGCGTGGAGCCAACGAGCTAGACATGGAGCCAGGATTCCAGACCAGCCCAGACCTCTCGTCGCGCGTCTCTTTTGAAACACCCGCCTCAGCGCGCCCGTAGATGTCTGCCATGGAATATTACCGTATACTCTTGCTGGGAGAATACATGTGTGTGTTGGCTTTGCTGGGTCGTGACACTCGTGCAGAGAGGAACAAAAAGGCAACGGGCCTGCACTGGCGGGTAACAACAACATTGATGAGCAATTGACAAAGATTTGACAACTCGATACATGAGCAACCAACCAATACGACAAGCACGACGACGACAAATCCTACCAGCCCTGAGGGTACCGCCTCTTCCAAAACAGTGTCTTCTCCATCATCATTGTCTCCCCGTGGTCATGGGACCCCCTCGCGAGGGGCTGGAGCGTCCACGATGCTCTCAGGGACGGGTTCAGCATGGTCAACAACTAGTCCATTACAGCATTCAGCATGGCGCAACATAGCCCACATTTTGCCGCACTGTCTGACAACCTGGGGGCAAGTCGGTTACCAGACGGCGAAGCAGTCGACGCACCAAACGCGCGCCAACTGCGAGCCGCGCCAAACGCGCGCTGACGATGCAAACGCCAGTACAGTGGAGACGTCAGTTTACGATCCGTGGGCGCAGCTGGACTCCTGAGGCCGTCTTTCTGGCCACGTCGCCACATTCGACAACGCGCCAAGCGGCCGACGTGCGGAGTGAAGGGAAATAACCTCATGCCCGTGAGAATAAACACTAGGGGATAATAAAGTTCGGGGTTCAGGGAGAGATAATAAAAGTAGCCCAGCAGACCTCAGCATAATCTCGAAGTAAGAGATGATCAAGAGGAGACCAAGCCGAGCACGTTTTGAGACATCCTTGGCGTTTAGTTTTCGTAGAAATATCCTCAACAATGGCTTATCTCGCTGGATACATCCTCGACAAATCCCTTGTTTCGCTTGAGACATCCGCAAACTATTGCTTATTTCGCTTGAGACACAGTCAAACTATTGCTTATTTCGCTTGAGACATCCTCGAAATAATTGTGTTGTTCGCTTGTAATGTCCTCAAGCTATATATAAAAAAGAAAAATTAAAAAAAATAAAGAATAAAATAAAAGAAATGATAGGAGGAGGAGAAGGAGGAACAGAAGAAAAAAAACTCGAGTTTCAAATCTATTAGATTTTATTTACAAGCGCTTTATGAAAAGTGTTTTTTGTAAGTGCTCGTGTAGGGTAGCTCATGTGCCTCAATTTCCATGGATAATCAACCCCAGAGATAAAACAGTTCAGGCGAGCGTGGGGACAGAGAGAAATATAAAAGAAGAAGAAAACAGTAGAATAAAAAAAGAAAGAAGAACAAGAGGAGAATAAGAAGAGGACGAAGAAAGGAAAATTCCAAAGTTCCAAATCTATCAATTTTAATTTACAAACGCTTTATGACAATTGATTTTTTTAAGTGCTCGTGTAGGGTAGCTCATGTGCTTCATTTTCCATGGATAATCATACCCAGGGATAAAAAAGTTCAGGCGAGCGTGAGGACAGATAGAAATATACAATAAGAAGAGGAAAATATAATAATAAAAAGAAGAGAAGAAGAAGAGAAGAAGAAGAAAAGAAGAAGAACGGAAAAATGGAAAGTTCCAAATCTATCAATTTTAATTTACAAACGCTTTATGAAACTTGATTTTTTAAAGTGCTCATGTAGGGTAGCTCATGTGCTCCCCTTTCCATGGATAATCAACCCCAGAGATAAAAAAGTTCAGGCGCGCGCGGGGATAGATACATATATAAAAAGGAAGATAATAAAAAATATAAATAAAAAGAAAAAACTTGCTGGTTTAGCTTGAAACATCCTTGAGACATCCTTGAAACATTGCTCGTTTCGTTTGAGTCTGCCTCCCAAAATTATTGGTTTCGCTTGACACATCCTGAAAAAGTGTGATCGCTTCGCTTGATGTTGCTATATCAACATCGCTTGATGTTGCTATCTCAACATAGCGTTTCGAGGTGATAATGAAGTTCGGCCTCAGCGCTCGCCGCCCAATTTGAATTTTGTATAGGGCGACGATAATCAACTCTAAACATTTAAGGGGGGGGGGGTCCCTTTATTATCATCGGCATGCGGTTAGAAGATGAGGAGGAGGAGGAAGGCAGAGGAAGAAGAGGAGGGCCCGATCAAGTATATCACAACGTTCTCATCATATCGTGCAAATTCACCCAGAATGGACCTAGGTGACAAACAAGCTTGCACGACCGCATCACTCAAAAATATGCCACTGCGGTAGAGGCGTTCTTGGGACTGGCACCGAGACCAAGCCCGTCAATCGAGAGCAAACTGATTATTTTATGGCACTTCAGACTGGGCTCAGCTGCGGCCGTGTGGTCGTCCAATCCCAGAATCCCGCCCGCAGGGTAGCCTGCAAATTTCAGGTTGCGGACGAAAAAGTTCAGGTAGACGATGCCACTCTTAGTGTGGCCCTGGACCACTTTCAGCTCCACCTGGCCGTATCGCAGCCAACGCCGGGACTCCTTCTCAGCGACATGGCCGGCGCTGAAGGCGCGGCCCTGGGAGCCGACCCATCTTCCCGTCAGGTTCACCGACTGGAAGTACATGTCAGCGCACGCCGCGCCCATCTGCCGCGCCTCCGCATCGACGCTCAGCAAGGCGGCCCCGCGCTTGGCACCCCTGGGAACCCGCAACAACGTGTGCCATCCCTCCTTGCGGAGGTCGAACCTCTGCCCGAGCACGTTGGCGAGGTGAGGGTCCCCAGTCGCCTGCGCCGACCCACCGGCCGCACCGGCGCGCGGCGAGTCTGGCGTCGGGCTCGGCGTCGGGTTCGGCGTCGGGTCGGGCGTTGGGAAAGCCGTCGGGTAGGGAGTCGGGAAGGCCGTCGGGTGGGGCGTCGGGTATGGCGTCGGGTATGGCGTCGGGTATGGCGTCGGGTAGGGCGTCGGGTAAGGCGTCGGGTAGGGCGTCGGGTATGGCGTCGGGTATGGCGTCGGGTAGGGCGTCGGGGAGGCTGTTTTGACCGTCACGGTATGCGACCCAGTTGCTGTGAAAGTATGAATTTGGTAGCCATTCCTCGTTGTGACTGTGCCACCTTGGAGCAACTGGGTGGAACTCATGTACCTGATGATTACGATGCCGGACCCTCCATTGCCAGCCAAAGAAGATTCAGGATCCGTGCCGCCGCCACCACCGCCAGTGTTTGCCTGTCCGTGTCCGCCATTGAAATAAGCGCCGGAACCATAGCCAAGACTGCTGCCACTGCCGCCACCCCCGAGGCCGCCAGCCCCTCCTGGATAACTGGAACAATAACAGTTTGCGTTGACGCCACCGCCACCGCCTCCGCCGTAATACGTAGAGTAGCCTGAGATTGACGACGCCACTCCAACGCCACCATCCCCCCCGACATTCTGTCGGGGTGCGTTGCTCCCAACGCCGCCCGCACCGCCGCCGCCACCGCCTGCGCCGTATCCCCCCCTGTCGCTCCGCCCACCACGGTTGCCTTGTCCCGCGACCCCAGCCGCGTAGGCAACGTAAGGCAGATCCCAGGCGCCTCCACCGCCTGAGCCCCCGCTGTACGCAGTCCTGGAACTGCCCCCCGCACCCCGACCGCCGCCATATGCCCTCAGAGAGCCGATCGAAGAAGAACCTCCGCTCGTTGCCTCCGCAGAAGCCCCATACCCATGCCCCCCCGCACCTCCGCTACCGCCAGCGCCAACCGTGATGACTGCGCTGCCAAATATGACCAAGCCCGTCCCTCGGAGCACACCGCCGGCGCCGCCGCCCCCAGAAGCGCCGCCACCGCCGCCGCCGACAATCAGGTATTCCACTGTCAGAGTCGACTGCGCCGCCTGCTTCTCCCAGGTGGCATTTACGTAAGTGGCGATCGCCGCGGGAGGTTCGGCCTTGTCGAGGTGCAAGGCTGAAGGCTGCTGCGCAGCCTAGCAAGAGAAACAGCGCCGAGGTGCCCGACGGCTTCATGGCACCGAGACGGAGGGTTCTGTGAGATGCTGAAGCACGCAAACGTGCGCCACAAAAGGCTTCAGGTATACATAATAAATACGTACGGACACAAGAAGCCGCCATCCCACTCCAGAGATCCCGACAATCCCTCCTCCATCCTCCCTCCTCTCTAATCCCTCCTCCCTCCTCCCTCCCCCCTCCCCCCTCCTCCTCCTCCCTCCTCCCTCGTCCCTCGTCCCTCGTCCCTCGTCCCTCCTCCCTCCACCCTCCTCCCTCGTCCCTCGTCCCTCGTCCCTCGTCCCTCGTCCCTCGTCCCTCGTCCCTCCTCCCTCGTGCCTCGTGCCTCGTGCCTCGTGCCTCCTGCCTCCTCCCTCCTCCCTCCTGGAGCACATCCCTCCTCCTTCCTCCCTCCCCCCTCCTCCCTCCTCCCCCCCTCCCGGCTCCCTCCTCCCTCCTCCCTCCTAGCGCCTCCCTCCTCCTTCCTCCCTGCTCCCTCCTTCCGCCTCCCTTCCTCCCTTCTCCCGCTCCCCCACCCGTTCCCGCCAAAAACTTCGCACGTGTGTCACAAAAAGGCTCAAGGCATACATGATGGAGACGGACACAAGAAGCGGCCATCCCACTCCAGAGATCCCGATCAATCCCTTAAGGGATGCTATATAATCCTTAAGGGATGCTATAGAATCCCTACGGGAAGGCTGCAGAATCCTTAAGGGATGCTATAGAATCCTAAAGGATGCTATAGGATCCTGCAGGGATGCTATAGAATCCCTGAGGGCTGCTACAGAATCCCTAAGGGATGCGATAGAATCCCAAAGGGATGCAATGTAATCCTCAAGGGATGCTATGGGATCCCTAAGGGATGCTACAGAATCCCTAAGGGGAGGCAGCAAAAAACCCGAAGGAATGATACAGAAACCCGAAGGGGAGGCTGCAGAAACCCTAAGGGGTGCTATAGAATCCCTAAGGGATGCTATAGAAACCCAAAGGGATACTATAGAATCCCTAGCTGCTGCCATAGAGTCCCTCGGGGATACTATAGAATCCCTAAGGGCTGCCATAGAATCCCTTAGGGCTAATCCCTTAGGGCTGCCATAGAATCCCGAAGGGCTGCCATAGAATCCCTAAGGGATGCTATAGCAACCCTAAGGGATGCTATAGAATGCGCGAGGGAAGGCTGCCGAACCCCTAAGGGATGCTCTAGAATCCCTAAGGAATGCTATAGAATCCCTAAGGGATGCCATATCATCTTCAAGGGATGCGACATAACCCCTAAGGAGAGGCTGCGGAACACCTAAGGAATGCTATATAATCCCAAAAGGGATGCTGTATAATCAATGATGGAGGCTATAGAATCCTGATGGGATGTTATATAATCCTCAGAGGGATGCTGTAGAATCAATGAGGGATGCTATAGAATCCTCAAGGGGATGCTATATAATCTCTCAGGGATGATGTATAATCAATGAGGGAGGTTATATAATCCCTAAGAGGTGCCATAAAATCCCTGAGGGATGCTATAAAATCCTTGAAGGATGCTGTATCATCCGTCGAATCCTTAAGGGGATGCTATAGAATCCTTAAGGGGATGCTATCGAATTCTTTAAAGGATGCTATAGGAGCCTTGAGGGATGCTACAGAGTCCCTGAGGGATGCGATAGAATCTTGGAGGGATGCTACAGAATCCATAAAAGGGCTGCTATTGAATCCCGAAGGGATACTATAGAATCCCCAAGGGATACTATAGATCCCTAAGGGATGCCATAGAATCCCCATGGGTCCCGGCGCGTTGCCCCGCGTCCCTCAGTGGCCTGCCACACAGGGGGGAGGCGCATGCCCAAATGGCTTGAACCACAAATGAAGAGAGGGAAAAGAGCGTGCCCACGTCAGCCGCAAGGCCACCAGAGCCACGGGAGTGAAATCCGCCGCCGTGCATCCTGTACGGCAGAGGCGCGTTAGAAGCTGGGCCGGCACGGGAACGAAAAGAGCTCCATGTGGGGCCAGGGCAACGATCCTCGATACACGTGTGCCGGAATGATGTTTCGGTGTGGCTCCGTGTGGGGCCAGGGCCACGATCCTCGAGAGGGGTGTGCCGAAATGAAGCTTCGGTGGGCCCCCTTGTGGGGACTGTGCCACGATCCTCGAAAGGGGTGTGCCGAAATGATGTGTCGGTGGAGTTCCCTGTGGGACCAGGGCGACGATCCTCGAGAGGGGTGTGCCGAAATGAACCTTCGGTGGAGATCCCTGCGCGGCCAGGGCCGCGATCCTCGAGAGGGGGTGTGCCGAAATGAAGCGTGGGTGGAGCTCCCTGTGGGGCCAGGGCCACGATCATCCTTGAGGGGCGTGCCGGCATGAAGCTTCGGAGAAACCTTCTGTGAGGCCGCGGCCACGATCCTCGAAAACGGTGTGCCGAAATGAAACTTCGGAGGAGCTCTCTCGGAGACCAGGGCCACGATCCTCGAGAGGGGTGTACCGAAATTAAGCTTCGGAGGAGCTCCCTGTGAGGCCAGGGGCCCTATGGGATTCCTATCAGATTCCTAGAAATGACTCCCATAAAATTCGTAAAAGCCCTATAGGCTTCCCGTGGGATTCCTCTAGGACTCGTAGAAAGGCCGTATAATTCCTATAAGACTCCTATCGGATTCCTATAAGATTCGGAGAGGCCCTATTGGAATTCTCATAGGATTCCTACAGGATTCCTATGGGATTCGTAGAGGCCCTGTCGGATTCCTATAAGATTCCGAAAAGGATTCGTGCAGGTCCTCTAGGATACTTTTCAGAAACGTATAGAAGTCCAATGGGATTCGCACAGGCCCTACAGGATTTCTATGGGAGTCCTATAGGATATGTAAACTCCCTCTGGGATTCCTATCAGATTCCTATAGGAGTCCTATAGGGTTCGTAAACGCTCTATATGAAACCGATGAGACTCCTATAGGAATCCGATAAGATTCGCAGAGGCCCTATCGGATTCCCACAGGTTTGCTATAGGATTCTATGGCACTCGTAGACAGGCCTTAAAGGAGTATTATGAGATGCCTATGGGATTCCTATCGGAATCGTAGAGGCCCTATAAGCTTCCCATGGGATTCCTATAGGAATCCTAAAAGCCCTATAGGAATCCCATGGGATTCTTGTTGGACTCCTACAGGATTCGTAAGAGGCCCTATAGGATTCACATCGGATTCATATAGGGTTCCCATCGGACTCATGCCGTATAGGATTCCTATAAGATTCAAATTGGATCCCTATAGGATCCGTAGAGGCTCTCTAGGACTCCCATCGAAATCCTGTGGGATCCTTATCGGATTCGTAATGAGGCCCTCCAGGATTCCTCTGGGATTCCTAAAAAGAATTCCGATAGGCTTCGTAGAGGCCCTATGAGATTCCCAAGAAGGATCCCTATAAAATCCGTAAATGATTCGTAAGGAGGCCCTATAGGATTGCCAAAGAATCCCTATGGGATTCCCATAGGACTCCTAAAAGCCCTATAGGATTCCAATGGGATTCCCATCGGAATCCTACAAAGGCCTTATAGGTATCCTACAGGCTTCCTAAAAGGATTCCTATCGGATTCGTGAAGGCCCTATAAGATTCTCATCGGGTTCCGATGGGATTCCCATATGATTCGTAAAAGGCCCTATCGGATTCCTATAAGATTCCCATGGGATTCCCATAGGATTCGTAGAGGCCCTATAAGATTCCTGTGCAGAGACCCTATAAGATTCCCAAGAGGAATCCCATAGGATTCGGGGTAACGTGCGTTGCGTTGCGTTGCGTTGCGCCGGGGGGGGGTGGCGGGCGCCAGTGAGTGGTTTCGTCAACAACAACAACAATTAGTCACTGCGTGGAGCTCCCCATATGTGCATCTACTCGCATGGACCTGTCCGCCGTGAATGTCTAGGCGCAAGAGCTTTCGAATATTAACGGGTTTCAGTTGTGACGGTCTGGACATCAATCTAACTGCGAATGAATTGGAGTGTGAATGAGCCTCAGTAGTACGAGCGCGTCTCTGTGCATGAGCCTGGGGCCTCCTGGGGCCTCCTGAAACCTACTGGGGCTTCCTGGGGTCTCCAGGAGCCTCTTGGGACCTCCTGGGACCTCCTAGGAAGGTTTCGTGCCCCAGGAGAGGCGCAATCTATAGCAACAGACGTACATAAAACATTGCGGATTAGAGCCACAGGAGAAGGGCAATCTATATGAACACGCGTAAAACACCAAGGACTCGTGCCCCAGGAGAGGCCCAATACATAGTAAGAAGGACCATCTATAGAAACATACGTAGAACATCAAAGAATCGTGCTCCAGGTGAGGCCCAATCGATAGGAGCATACGTAAAACACATGGGATTGGAGCCACTCCTGTTGCCTTCTGAGGCCTCCTGCTCCTAGGGCCTCTCGGGGCCTCCTGTTGCCTTCCGAGGCCTCCTGGCGCTTCCTGTTGCCTCCTGGGGCCTCTGTGGTTTCCTGAGGCCTTCTGGAGCTTCCTGGGGCCTCCTGGAGCCTCTTGGGACATCCTGTGGCATCTTGAGTCTTTATGTGGCCTCCTGATGCCTCCTGGGACCTCATGTGGTCTCCTGGGGCCTCCTGGAGCCTGTTGGAGCCTCCTGTGGCATCCTGAGAAGAATCTGCGCCCACGAGCCTGGCCACCAAAACAAGC